GATACTGATTTGGGTTGATTCGGGAATCAGTTGCATGAAGAGTTATATTCTAGATCATGGAATTACTTTTCAAACATCTTGAACAGGAGGGGTGATTAGATTACTGTTATGGGCGATCCAGATTTTCAGTCTAAACTTCTTAAGCTGGAATTATTCAAAATATAAGAGAAGATATTTTTGTATCAATAACTACCTTCCGGGAGCCAAAATATAGATAAAATGTATTTGATACTGATTTGTCTGTTAGTATATAAACACTAGTACATAAACTAATACATGGATCAGAGACAGTTTGCTCTCATTTTATTACATATTTAAAAAAAATGTTTAACTGAATAAAACAGACCTTGGAGTTGGGGAACGCATTGGGTTTGATTAAAGAGGTCAATGGTTGATTCAGCCTCCGCAACGGAACGGAGGAACTTGAGAATGGAACGGAGAGCTCGAACACGGAGAAAGGAGAATTCGGCACGTGCATCTCTGAGCCCCGTTCTGAGGGCGAGAGTGACTTCTCTATACACTCTCTGCTGCTGCAGCGACTTTCCGACTTCGCTCACAACACCGTCATCCTCTACCGTTGCATTTCCGTCCCCTTTCTCTGTTGTTTCACTCCACAACGGCTTCTTCAGGTACATCTCCGTTTTGCTTCGCTCAGACAAGACGAATTTCTCAATATCGATATTAATTCATACTCGCCTTTCAACAACGGAGCCAGTAATCCAGTGGATCATATCAAAACCTCGTCGTTTCAGATCCCTGCGATCAGAATCAAATTCCGAGTTAGGGTTCGTGATGAGAGGTCAAAACGAATTGGGAACTGTTTGCTCACTCTATTTTCGTTTTCAGCAGTCATTTCTCGCCCCTTTGTTCAAATATTTTGAAGAGTAAATTTGTATAACAGAAACTTTTAATTTTCATTAAGCAGCATTTTATATTTAAACTCGCCAAGTTTATTTTATATTATGGATAGCAAACCTATGAAATTAAAGAAGTTTAAAATTATAATTAAAGTGGCAAAAACGAAAAACATAAGTATTGTACTTTCTAGGCATTTCAAATAAATATAGGAAATTAATAGGATGACAATGCAATAAAAAAAATTAACCCACCAAAATCAGAATTACCTCAAATTGCATAAAGCAAAATAGTTCGTCTCGCGTTTTTCTAACGGGTTTGTGGGACTGCTTGTTTGGTCCGTCTCACTCTGTCACCTCTAAATATTAAATAAATAAAGTAATTAAGATAAATTATCTCTGGAATAATTTTCAACCCATTCAATACTATTATTAATGTGATTTTTATGGTTTACTTGGTAATTTCATCATTATATTAAAGTATTTAATTTAATTAAAAGTATTTGTTTTTGACTCAGTTAAATTTATATTTTTGTAGAAAAAAAATTAATGTCGTCTTTTTAAGAATGAGTTTGAGAGAGATTTAATGGATGAATTTAAGGAGATGAATAAATAAAAGTATGATTGTTTTTATTAAGGAATGGAAAATTTAATGTAAAGAAATTTAAAGTAAATTTTTGTGAAAGATTTGATAGATAAAAAAATGTTCTAGACTATAATTTTACGATCATGACTAAAATTATATAAAATAAAATATAACGATTATTATTATAAATTAGGGTTAAATATGTGTTTATTTTTAAATTTAAATGAAAAGTATATATTTAAAATTTTAACTTAATTTTTCGTTAATTTTAAAAAAATATATATTTAATCTTTTTAATTAAATATTAGTAAATTTATTTGATATTTTAAATATATTTCAGTGTTTACAATTTTTTAACACATTTTTATCAATATTAATTAAAAAACGCCTTTAAAAACTAGAAAAGAGAGTAGTCCAAATTTTTTACTTATTTTATTATTATTATTATATTATTATTATAATTATTATTATTAATTATTCACAAAGTTATAAGCAAAAATATAAAAGTACGTTAACTTGTCTTTTCACTATAGTATCTTCGTTAATGAGAAGATGAAAGTCTTGAGGTCTCACGTATCTATCATACTAAATTAGTTTAAAATTTGTTGAAATGATTCAGAAATTACGAGAAAATGGAAAATAAGTGTATATAGTTGATTGGATTGATTAGTTTTTTACGATAGTATATAAAGAAATTTTTCAAAATTTTGTGTCATTCTCCTCTGCATGCACTTCTTTTTTCCAAGTTTCTGAGTTTCGTTTTTTCCTCCTTCTCTCTACAAATTCTCTCTATAAAATTCTAACTTTTCTTCATCAGATCATCAATCAGGTTGTGTCTGAGCTTTCCTGGTGTCAAGAGATTTCTTTTGAATCGATCAAGTTGTTGTTTTGAGCTGGTAAGTTCATCCTCTTCTTAGAAATTCTATTTTCTGGTACATGCAAGCCAAGTTTCTGGTTGCACGTGTTTATCATCTTTTTCTCTTAAATTTTGATCACATTTCTGGTCTTTTGGTTGGTCTATTTTCATTAATCGGTGGACCATAGGTTTCTAGAATTTTTGGTGGTGAGCGAGTTTCTACAACTGTGAGCTTCCAGTCCAGTTAATAGGTAAGGGAAGCTAAATAATTTAATTTGTATGTTTATAGGTTTATAACGAATTGTATGATTGATTTAAATGTATGTTGAATTTCTGTTTTTGATTGGATGTGAGGACTGAACTATGTGGACTAAATTTGGGGAGTATTATGCAGAAAAAGTGTTCGGCCAATATCAATTTAAGGAAGTGAGAGGGTGAAAATGAGAATTTGAGGTTGGGAATGGTTTTTTGGCAGTGAGGTGAGTTTGAACAAGTGCATTGTGACCTGTTAGAATCATTAAGATGGTAAAAAATGTATAAAAGTGGTAAAATATGATTTTGGGTTCTTGAGTTGAGTTTATGCAGATTTCTGGGTGTGTTTTGGGTGAAATTTAGTGAATGAAGGTTAGAGATGTTAGGCACCCTTAGATAGGTTTGAATTGGTGTAGGAATTATGTTTGGAGGATTTGAAGTTGGGAAAATAATTTGGTTTTGGTAAATTATGGTGTTCTTCATAATTCTGCAGAATTTTTGCATAATTATGCAAAACGCTGAGTGTGCACTGTTGACCGCTCAGTCATATTCAGGTACTTGGTTATGGATTGGGTTCGGTATCTTTCATCTTACCCATTCATGACCGTTCGGTCCTAGGTGGTAGTTCTCTGTCTTGTACTAGTGCTCGTTCTTGGTCAAGCGTTCGGTCTTATACTAGCAGTTATGCTAGAGTTAGCGTTCGGCTTTATAATAGCATTTATGTTAGTGTTAGCGCTCGGTCTTATACTAGTAGTTATGTTAGTGTTAGTGCTCGGTATTATACTAGCATTTATGCTAGTGTTAACGTTCGATATCTTCTAGTGGTCGGTTTTTAACAGTGTTCGGTTAATTCTTCTGTTATATTTATTATGGACCGTTCGGTCTTATCCTTTGGGTAGTGAGAAACCGTCCAGCCTCCAACGTTCACAGAGTTCTTGGTTTTATGATTAATGATATGATTGTTGAATGATATTATATGTTAAATGATGAGGAGTATGTTTTAAGTACTGTGGAAGAAAATTCCAAGGTGGAATGTCTCGTGGATAGTTATTGAATTGTAAAGTATGAATGTGGATATCGTGGTAAGCTGGTGTTTATCTTGATATTCTATGATTACTCATTCTCAAGTAGAGAAGAGTAACTCATGTGTGAGAATGGCAGGAGGTCCTTTAACCTCAGGGTATCGAGGTAATTTTCACTAGACTTACCTTGTGGGGTAGCTTGATGGGTGTCTTGCTGTTTCACCACCACAAGTGCAAAAACACCTGTAGCTACACATTCATACAATCCGGATGATCAAGTCATGTGTTCGGTCTACTTATGAATTATGGTGTTCGGTCTATGCATGCTTCTAGTGTTCGGTAATAACTACTTGAGTGTTCGATTTGTGTATGTTTACTTGTATTCGGTCTTAGTATGTTGAAGTGTTCGGCCTTGCATTTTTGTACTTGTAAAAAATGTATGTATGTGTATGCAATTAAATTACATTAGCTTACCCTTATTTCTTTGTCCATGTTCCTGTTCGATTTTTCTCTTGCAATGATCACCTTTGGGTGTGAGCAGAGGTAGAAGGAGCTCGGTGGAGCAAGCTTTGGAGGAAGAAGAAAGACCAGCCATTTAGTAATAGTTTGCTGTTTAATTTTGTTAATAGTTTTGTATGAATTGTTTAGTTATAATCCTAACTTGATAATAATCGTTCGGATTATGTACATAGTTTTGAAATAGTGTAGGACTTTTGTAAAGTTTTAAATTTTATATGCTATATTTTTGGGATGTTACATTAATGGTATCAGAACAATTCTTTTCTTAGGAATCCTGTAGGTTTTGATTGTGTCTTGCTTGTGTACTCTTAGCTATGTATAGTGATTGTCTCTGTCTTCTTAAATTTGACTGATGACTTTTTTTCTCTGTGTAAACAGAAGATGGCAAATAGATCTCCTCCTTCTCCACTTCACAATTATGATACGTCTAACGTTCTAAGAATGATGAAATCAGTACTGGAAGCAATGCAGCAAGAGAATACTGCATTAGTTCATCAACATACTGTACTCTAAAAAATAAGGAAAATGACACTTGAACAACCATTTTTGACAACATTTAGACACGCGCACACGTGTCAAAATCTGAGGGTCCATTTTCATTTAATTTTTCCAACTGGACCACTCAGATTTTGACACGTGTGCGCGTGTCTAAATGTTGTCAAAAAATGGTTGTTCAAGTATCATTTTCCAAAAAATAAAACCCAATTAATGTTTTAAATAAAATAAAACAAAATTAAACATAAAAACTAAATAACTAATGAATTTATTATATATAATTCATTAAGTCTTTATATTTGGAAAGAATGGAGAGATGTTTTGTGGGACCCGGAGATTCTAGAATCTGTGGGAAGTTACGAAGTTGAGGACGGTTCCGTAATTTGAGTTCTCCACTTCCTCTCTTTCTTTCTTCTTTTGGTTTGGTTAGTTTCTTCTCCTTATCTTTGTGTCGTGTCTCTCCCCTGCAACATTACCACCACATCCAAACCTTGGTTCCTTTGTGTTTGTGTCTCTCTCTTCTTCTCTTCAGAGATTAGACACAGAACAAAGCAACCAAAATCATTTTCCATGTCTCTCTCTTTTCTTCCTGTCTACTCTTCACCTCATCTCTCCTCTTCTCTTTTCTTTCCTACGCCACACCTTTCTCTCCTTTGTCTCCCAAAATTCTCAAATGCCCCAGCTCCCCAATTTATTTTATGCTGCCGAAGGAACGCTTCTTTTTCCGCCCGATGTGGGCCTGGAGTCCCCGATGGTACTCAGTATGACAGTGGTATCGAAGAAGATGAGCAACCCATGAAGGCTAGTTGCGATGACGAAGAAGAAGAAGAAGGCCAAGAGACTCTTAGCTCCTTAGTTTTGCCCGAAAGATGGGATGTCTTGGGTCTCGGTCAAGCCATGGTGATGCCCTTTTCCTTCCTGCTCCATTTATTCATCATAATTGCTGTTAAACTCGCACGAATTTGCACACCCTGTATATATACTGCTCTTGTATTTAAGAATTGTTTCGTGTATGCTCTGGGTTTTTTGTTCCCTTGTGAGAAACGGTTCAAACTGCTAGCATTTTAGAATCTTCATTGTTCTTGTTTTATGATGGGTTATGCTGACGCTACCGTGATAAAATTTAGATGCTAATCCTTGGTGTTTTCAGTATGTTGACGAATCAGAATTGGGGTTTTACAATACAATATGCTTAATCATGATTAGCACTACAAGTCATCGTAATAATCAATGTTTGTATTAAAGTCATTACCAAGTCAAACTTCAATTCTGAATTAAAAAATAACAGCAAAAGAACGTACAGAATTTTAGTTTTGCTCGTATGGTTTATACTTTCATCGTCTTGCTGCTATGGACACTTCTCTGTCCTTTTTCTCCGAGAACAACTATGAAGGCGTTTTGTTGGAAATTCTTGTAGGTGGACTTCTCTGGCATGGTCGATGATAATTTTCTGAAGAATTTGGGGTTAGAGAAGGGAACGCGGAAAGTGGTAAATCATGAGGAAAGAGGTAGAGTTTTACAGGCTATGGATGGGTGCAGCTATAAAGCTGCGGCAGGTGGATCTCTCTCTAATACCTTAGTTGCCCTTGCAAGGCTTGGAAGTCGCTCCCTCAAAGTTCCTGCTATAAGTGTGGCAATGACCGGTAGTGTAGGGAGTGATCTGTTGGGGGGTTTCTACAGGTTTGTCTTTATTCTTTTCACTGTTTTAACATACTTTCACTCCATTTCCGGATAGTGCATTTTTCCTTATTGTCAGTGTAGTTAGGAGGGTGCAAAAGCACCATTGTTGTTGTATGGAGTGGCCCCTTGCTGTTGTGCAGCATTTCAGTATTGTGTTCATCATGGCCGTTTGTGTCCTAAAAAAAAGGTGAATTGCATTGTAATAGTGCCACACCTGTGCCTGAGTTCTTCTCTCTCTACCCTTTCAATGTGGCTGCATTTCTTCTCCTTCCTATCTGTGGGTCTGTGGCGCCCTCTGCCCCCCGTCCCTGTGCTGTTTCCAGGCAGCCTCTATGACCTTCCTTATCACTGCCAACCTCCCATACCTCCATCTGTGACCTCTGCCATGCGTGAAGCCTCTGTTTCATTTGCTAAGTGCAGCACTTGGCTAGCTGCCGAAGGGAGTTTGGGTTTCAGAGGAATTTGGACGTGTGGCGAAGACATTTTTATGTGTTTTTATTTTTATGTTCTGGGCATATAATATAACAAACTAACACTAATAGCAGTAATAAGAATTTCACAATAGTGGTCATATCATAATGGTAGTAATTGAACTATACACTATCCTATGTAGTAGTTTTGCAGTCAGGTGCTCTCTATCACAATTCAGGATTGGTAACTATGTTTTTGTTCTTCTTCAAGCCAGAGTTGTTCCTTTGGCTGGATTTTGGTGTCTGAATATGCATCCATATTTGTGTACTTTCTAAGGATAGGCCACAAGTAGATCATAATGATAGCTTAACAGATAATACAGGGGAAGAGGCATTGTATATGGAATCAACCAGGAAAAAATTTATATTTTTTATCCCTGTATGTTAAATATTCTATTACTGTGAAGTACTCATTTTTTCATCCAAAACTTGCAGTGTAGTTGCACACGTAACACCTTTGTACTGTGTACTCATTTCCACACATAATTTTGTTATTTAATGATTCCACCAGTTTTTGTTTTGGCAAGTGAGATTTGATGAAGCTATTTGTATTGTTTGTTTACGTTTTCTTTTAATTCTACAGGGAAAAATTGCGCCGAGCAAATGTGCAATTTCTTTCCGAGCCTATCAAGGATGGGACTACTGGAACAGTTATAGTTCTCACAACTCCAGATGCCCAGCGAACAATGCTTGCATATCAGGTTTAGTATGCTACAAAATGGATACTAAGATAGACACATCTGCCGCGTCCTTCTTGCAATTTGAGGATTCTATAGCAAGATGTTTATAAGTAAATATATCAATAGCAATTTATATAGTGGTTATTATGCACCCCTCCCCCACTTCCAACTAATGCACATTTAAATATATAATTGACTATTTGCATTACGCAATTACATGAGTTGCTCAAAAGTTTCTTGAGTTCTATTGTGAAGTTCAATTCTATAATTTGTATTAATTGCATATATTGAAGAACTATGTAAGTTTATCAACTAATACGCAATGAGCATGCACAGTATTTACCATATATATTATTGTCTATTCTTCAAGTAATACTTCCTTGCTGATTATTCAAAGCACAGTGGTTCTTCTTTTACATTTATTGTCCAAATCTAAGCTCTGTATTATTTGCTACTGCAAATGGTGAAGTTGCTAAAAATATTTTGGCATTCTATTGTCAGGGCACATCTTCAACTGTTAACTATGATGCATCCTTGGCTAGTGCAGTTTCCAAGACCAACATACTTATTGTTGAAGGGTATTTATTTGAACTTCCTGATACTATTAAAACAATAACCAAAGCATGTGAAAAAGCTCGGAGGAACGGTGCCTTGGTTGCAATAACAGCTTCAGATGTTTCCTGCATTGAGAGACACTTTGATGATTTTTGGTAAAACCGTCACTTAATTTTTATATAATACTTGATATCATGTAATTTCCGTACCATTAATCCTGACCTTCAATAACAATTTTGTTAACCTAAAGCATAAATTTGTGTAACAAGATAGATATGATTAATTTGTTTTTATTGTATATTCCATGTGCTTGTTCTGTTTTCAGTTGATTAAGCTGTGAACAAATCTGAAATTAGCTCCCAACTCATCTAATTTTGTAATTTGTCTTAAGCTTGTAAAATATAGGAATTGCTAAAGCAATCTAGCAAACTTTGAGAGTGATGTGAGGCAATATTTCTGAATGTGTGTGATAATTGCTAACCAGGCTGTTGAAGGACTGGGGGGGAATCAAATTCAATTAGGCAGATTGCATCATCAAACCTGTAGGAACCACTTAAATTCAATTAACCAAAAGTAAAATTGGTTCATAATATGATATTTGTTCAGGTGTTAGATCACACGCATGTATGCTCTTATAACTGGTGTATTTTTCCATTCATCAGGGAAATTATTGGGAACAGTGTTGATTTAGTCTTTGCAAATGGTGATGAGGCCAGAGCTCTTTGTAATTTTGAAGCAAAGGAAAGTGCTGCTTCAGCTGCAAGGTATCTGAGCCACTTTGTTCCTCTGGTATCCGTTACAGATGGTCCTAGAGGCTCTTACATAGGTGTAAAAGGGGAAGCTGTATATATCCCTCCTTCATCATGTGTTCCAGTGGATACTTGTGGTGCTGGTGATGCATATGCATCTGGTATTCTATATGGTCTTTTAAGAGGCGTATCAGATTTGAGAGGTATAGGCACATTAGCAGCTAATGTTGCTGCTACTGTTGTTGGACAACAGGGAACACGCCTTAGAATTTCAGATGCAGTCAAATTGGCTGAATCTTTCGAATTTCAACTCGATTCCTCTTCGGTTGGCACCGATCATATTTCCAGCGTCTAATCAAAGTTGGCACTATGAAATTTAATTACAATTTTTTTTTCACGAATTTATTGTATTCCTTTGATCATTATGTTTCAAAAGAATAGCCCTGTAAATACTCAATTTTGTAAAAAGATTAGTTCTGTTAGCAATTCAATTACTCAGGCCCTTCTAGTCTTCATCATTATTAGTACCAGGGTACATAGATATGTTATATCACCATCGTCATAATTATTTTTGTATGTTACAACCATAATTTATCACCATGATTATTAAGAGTGACATTGAATTTGGTAGATGTATGCATTATCTAAAGTTGGTTACTTTTCACCATGATTACTGAGAGTGACATTGAATTTGGTAGATGTATGCGTTATCTAAAGTTGTTACGGAAGGTGTTCTTATTTAATGATCAATTTTCCTTAAATGGAGAAGCCAGATTTTGGTTACATTTTTGTCCATCATTAATGTTTACCGTCAATGGTGATTTTTACAAAACAAAACGTTTGTTTCTTGATTTTATAATTTTAATAAATCATGTGTTAGCTTAAGACTCCTGCTTTGTAAAAGAAAAACATTTGGCTTGTTTTTTCATTTGAAAAAGGCGTAATTACTGCCAGAAAAGAGCATTGCGTAGTAGGTTTCTTGCATACACAATGCATACCCAGACATTATACATAACAGGAGTGGAATCCGTATCAAATGAATACCAAATATTGATCTAAAACATGCTATTGATCTTTCACGAAACCAAAATCTTGCTGAGTGGTAACGAAGTATTGGTTCCTATGTTTCAGATGCCATTTTACTAATGTCTAACGTACGAATGAATCAGGAGGAGCTTCTTCTGGAATCTGCCAAACAGACACAGTACAAAAACAAAATGAAAACGAACAAATGTTAGCACATCAAGCACTTATCAATCTAACTGTTCAAAGGAGGATTTTGTCCTGCTTATAGAAATGGAAACAAAATGTCTTGGAGACAAGTTTTATCAGTCAAGAGTAAAGCAGAGACTATTACCTCTCCTGGATTCCATTTCTCTTTTAACCAAATACTGACATCTCCTGACACATTCTCTGGTTGTAACTTATTTCTGCAAGAATAAAGAACGGCCACAAAAATTCAATCGGAAGTCTTTGTAACTTGCATTCGAAGAAAAAAATTCTTCAATACATAGACACAACCTCAGAAAATGCATGAATAAAGGTGAAGTTTCCAAAAAGACTCATACTAGTATAAACTGGGGCATTGTTTCATAAAAATAAAGAAAGATCCAACCAATACAAGCACTTATACTGGAATTAAAATCCTTCTAATCTACAAACTCTAACTTATGGCTTAACAAAATATATTTTATCATTGGGTTATGCGGTCAGCTTCATCAAAATTATAAAAATTACAATAGATTCAACTTGGTCTGTTTTAAGAAAAATTATAATAGTTGAAGTGAGCTCCTGAGGCAATTGGGGGTGCTTGGTACGTTCATCATTGCCAAATGAAATCTTGAATAGTACTTAAATCAGAAAAGTTTATCATAATCATTTCAAAATTAAAAATTAGAAAGCATTATGGGAGTCTTGTCACAAAAAATTACTGCTGCTACTTTATTAAATAAAATGGAATAATAATCCAATATGGATAAAATTGAAATTTTCAAGCTCAATTTTTTTGAAAACTGAAAATGCATAACTAAGCTGAAAAGTTTTCAATGAAAACAATAATGATTGACTCGCCAGATTATAATCAATCTCTGTCATTTATTAATTCCACATGATCTAAAACAATGTACCCTGAAATATGGTTAAACAGTTTAACTATTTTTCAATGAATGAGATCATCAAGTGATTAAATTGTGGCAACTGCTTTTCAGGACTTTTTAATGTGCTATGAACTTACGACAACAGGACATCTGATGTTGTTTGAAAACCGGAGTTATTGAATGTGGCTGGTGTTTGCTGAGTTGAACCCGGAAATATTGTCAAATCCGCTGGTGTAGAATGGGGGTTGCTTTGAACACCGAAGGAGCCACTGCTGTTTAGGTTTCCTGTATTGGATGCCAAAGAGTTCCCTAGTATTTATTATAGCACTGATAATCAGACATATATGAGCAAGAAAAACAAAAGACATATATAGTCATAACACTATAAAAAATACACCAACCATATACCTCCAACTCCAAAGAAACTAGGCTGTGCCAGAGTGTTTGTTGGTGGTGCAGATGGCCTAACAATAGTTCCAAACAGATTAGACCAAAAGCAAGAAAAAAATATTAGCAGAGTATGACAAGGAAAGTACAAGATGAAGAATAATCAATGCATGGGAAGCCATGATTGCAGACCTGCATCTTATCCATTCTATACCAACCACATCCCATACCCAATTCCACAAGTAATACCAATGTAACCACATAGCCACTATCGGAAAGTTTACAGAAACCAAATTTTCAAGACCTAGGTCATTCTAGTGCCCTTAAAAACTGATATCAAACTAGCCTGAAACAGCATCTACGAAAACTGTAACATTATACGACAATAATAAATGCTCTTGTGCATTTCTCCATTCTCTTGGCAATTACAACACAATCCTAAACAAGAATACACAGTAGACAGGAGTTCTAGAAGAAAGGGTGTCAGTAGAGGTCTAATGCAAATTAGACAAACTATCAAGTCTCACCAATACCTTATATGGTACAAACCGCACTCCAGTGGAGCTCATTCAACTCTCAAGTAGTTTATTGTGGATTTTCTCTAGTTGTTTTCCAACATCAAGCAACCAAAAATGAGGAAAATATTTTCTAGCCAGTAACTCTTACCTTCCAAAACCCATGTTCATTGAAGTACCCAGTTGGCTAAAGCTTGAGACTGACAAAGGACCATTACTTGGAGATGTTCCTGAAAACAGATTTGCATTGGCTCCCATGGATTGGGGTCTTTGACTGTCGAGAGAAGAATTTATTGGTTTTTGGTAAGGTTCAGAAAGTAGTTTCTCAAACTCGAGCATCTTGGATTTCAGTATACTTCTCTCTTTCTCAACCTGCAATGTCATATTTTTAGGTTAGACACAGAATACATTTGAGCACGACTGTAACCTTGTAATTACAAATGTCAACACAAAAGACACAGTAAAGGACGCTCTTCTTTAATACAAATTGTCAAAGTGAAATTTCATTAAAGAAAACTAAAGCAGTTACAACTAGATACAGAATAGCGTATCTTCCAAAAATGTGAAGGGGAGAGGAGAGAGAAAGGGGCTAAAGGCATGATATGTCAGATTTCTTACTATTGATTGCAAGCTCATCCCACGCTTAGCATCCTCATAAGCTGATGCCCGCAATTCTTCAAAGCTAATATCACCAACAATGTCACAAGGAGCACTGCAGCAAAGGAGATCAAAATCTATACTTAGTTTTCTTATTAGAGCACTGGTTAGGAGTCTTTAAAGAAATTTCTCTTTCAAGAGTACACCAGGATCTCTTTTTCCAGTATTATCGTTTTAACTGCAAATTTCTTGAGGAAATGTTTTCAGGTTTATCTAGCAGGTGTAATCCAGGTGGACAGTGGCCTAACTCATTAGTAACTAAAGAAGATTCAACTGCAGTTTACGGAAAATTAAATAATAGGTGAACTCATGCATGCGAAACTTCCATGTGAAACCCAATCATCTGAAGCTCTTTTATGCATAAGGAAAACGTTCCTGTTAAGATCTTGCTAATCATATGGACAGTAGCTTTCAAAAGAATGTTTAAAGATAGGATGAGGAAGTGTTTAATGATTACTGGTTAATTTATCAGTGTTGCATTGGATGAATTGAAAAAATAGTCAACAATCAACGTAGCTCAGTTACACGGGTTTCAAGGAAAATGGAATTTTTTGTCTGCATTAGGTGATGGAGTTGTACATGATTAAAAAATATATTTACAGTAAAAAGTTCGGTTAATGTTTTCAAACCATCATGTATGAGAAATATACCCTTTGCAATGACTGTAGCATGTAAGTATCCAAATTGGTTTCTCTTTCTCGAAATCTTCTGCAATCTGGCGCTTGCAGTTCTCAGGATCTGTGCATCTTTTAATTACATCAACCAAGTAAAGTATATCAATAATATTATGCAAAATGCAATACATAAACAAGGCACAAGGAAAAAATACAATAGAGACCCTCTTTTGTAGAAAAAGATTAACTAGATAGCAAGAAAAGTACTAAAGATGATCAGGTATTCTCCAAAAGAAATCACAGAACCCAACAAAAGCAAACAAATGGTACTCAATTTTCCTTTGCTTGTTTGTTAATAACAAACGGCATATTGTTTAAAGATAAACATGCAGAGGATTGTAAACTTTAGCCAAAAAGAAAAAGCAATAGCGCCTAGGCAACAAAAATTTTGCATCCTCAAAATTGATAAAAAAAACAAAGCCCTCCAGTGATCCAATAAAAAATTAGAGTTTGTTTGGTACTTTCAAGCACCATTAGTCAGTGTTTATGCATTTTGTAGACATTTAGACCTCTTCTTTTTATGTTTCTCATTCTGAAGTACAAGGGCGCATGTCCAACAGGTGGCAGTCATGCACATCCTTGTCCCTCATGTTGACTCGATACAACATGAAGAAAAATATCCATGATTCATGAGACGGAGAGTGGATTGATAAATACTCACTTATGATCTACTGGTTGGGGGTTGTTGTCAGATTTCCCACCATTCTGGGGTTTGGACGATTGTCGATTCCATTTGTTTTCAAAAGGCTGCTTCAGAGGTAAATGATCAATACTAAAACAAAACATCAGATTATTTTACTAAAAGTGAAGATGAAGCAGACATTGCATCGATAACCCCTCAAAAATAGTCCACCAATATCAAAAAGCTTCAATGTCGAAGTAATTTATTATAATGCCTAAAATACAAAAATAAACCTTTTCATCATGTATAAACATAGGAAAAGAATGAGAACCTTGTATTGGTTAGGTTTATACTCAGAACGAGGTCCCCCATTTAACTGGGAACTGTTCTGCGTGCCAAAACCAAAAGGATTAGACTTCTGTTGTTGTTGTTGTGACCCAAAGCCAGAGCCAGAGCCAGAACCAGACCCAAATCCAAAGGGATTTGTACTTTGCTGTTGATGAGAACCGTTTTGTCCTCCAAACCCTTGAACATTAGGTTTTCTCTGTTGGTTGTTGACATGTAAATATCTGCACCTTTCTCCATATTGGCAGCTGAAACATGAACTATGGCAACTTAAAACCCATTCTCAAAACTTCTGATGACGCAAACGGACGAATAAATTCAACATTAATAATCTAAAAGCATATCTGATCGCATAGATTACTACTGTTATATAACACGTAAATGCTCAGATTTATACAGTTATATACTACCAGTAGCTGAAAATCCAAAGTCCAATCACGCCCCCACAAGATATGCACACAAACAGTGAAAAATGAAAAGAAATAATTGCGATGGTAATTACACAGAAACAACATCACAACGGTATCTTAATGAATCGTGGAACATTGAAAGTGCAAGTAAAGCAATGAAGAAGATGAAGAACAATAACCTGCCTCGCTGGAAGTTTCGACAAATATCTCTCATCGTTTTAGAGCTATAACATCGTCAAACGTCAAACGTTAACAATTCCGAACAAAACAAACCCTTTCTTCGACTTTGCTAAAATCAATTGCTCATGGAAATTCAATTTCTCATTCACTTCTCGCTCCACTCTATGGTTGAAACTTGAAAAAACAAATAACAGATGAAAATTGGTGGTTTTCTTTTTTTTATTAGGTCCCTAATCACAGGTTTTCCTCTTTCAAAAACCGGTTTTTCGACTGAAAACCCTGCATTTTGGACCATTTTGGACCTAAAAGCTGAAGTTTCGGCCTTCGTATTCACTTTGGGACAGCTATTTCTCTTTGCACGTCCACAATTTCAATATGCACCACAGTAAATTTTTTTCTTTTCAAAACGTGTAATCTGATATTGTATTCCAAAATATATAACCATCATACATTTTTATTTATTCCAGTATATTTTAGAATACAAAATAAAAATAAATTTCAAATTATATTATCTTAAAATTATAGAATTCAGAATACAAAAATTATATTTTAGATTTATATTTCAAAATATAAAAATTTATATTTTGAATTATACATTCTAAAATATAAAATAAAATATATATTTCAAATTATAATTCTGAAATATAAAATTTATATGCTAAATTACATGATTCGAAATATAATAATTTATGTGAGTTCAAGTTAAAATTATGAAGGTGAAAAAGAAATTGTCTTTTGGTGCTTTCTCAGTGAATCTGATTGTTTCTTCTTATATTCCATTGACTAAAAAAATGACAAAAATATAATTATATAAAGTTGTGTAAGATTGCACAACTAAAAAAAATAATGTTATTTGTTATATTGCATACTCTAAAATGTTTTATTTTTGTTTCGGTGGGGTCGAAGTTAATTTTATTTCTCCAAAATAAATGTACAATCAATCAATGTAACCAATTACCTGAATACCACCAATCTGTATTTGTAGATTTCACGTATGGACTTTTGATTAATGTTGATCTAATTACAACCCGACTCAAACCATAATGACTCAGCTTAAGGTTAATATAATTATACTTAACACTAATTTTACTTTAATCTAACCAATCTGTTATCACTTGACTCACATAAAATCGTGAATTGGTTGACGGTTCGGTTCTTAAACTGATCACACCATTATACTATATAATTTTCAATGTTATTAGAATAAAAATAAATAATTTTATATTGATCACTCCAAAAATAAAAAATACAACATCCAAATGTTTAACTTCAAAACTTCTCAAATCACTAATAGAAAGTGATTACAACGTAATAAAAAAGAGACATCTTTTACATTTTTTTTCACTCCCAATGGATATGCAAAGATCAAAGAGCCCTAAACTTTTCTGTCAAGTATGCGGTTTTGTTCTTATTACGAAACTTCCACTTCTTTTAAATTGACAATTGAATCAAACATCCTCTTAGTTTGTTTTTTATTCTTCTTGTTTGTTTCATCATCCATTCTCCATCATAAATGCAATGCAAATGGCAAAGTATGGGATAAGTTTATCTTTCACTTCCAATAGTCTTCACTACAAAGATGATAGACAAAACCCCACTTCTATTCTCCTTCGTTTTCTCTGTCCCTACTACCACCACTCTTCAATAACAAGATTCAAATCACATATTTAATAATTTAAATTTTGTATTTGGTATCAGAATATGTGTTTCGGTCTTACACTGTTTAAGATTATGTATTGTTTGTGATGATAGAAAGATATTGATCACTTTTGCTTGTTTTTACAAATTTGAATTGATTTATGCATATAAAAATGAAAGAAAGTGGGAGAAATATTCTTCTTTAGTGAAGGGATTTGCGGAAGATTGTAGCTCATTTTATAATATTTTTCATTTTACCTTCTACATAAGATGAATAATGATAATAAATATTTTAAATTACTTTTATAATCAAAGGTAAAATAGTAATTATTAATTTTTTCAATTAAAAATATTTTTGTAATATATTAAACTCATCACATCATTAATTAATTTTCATTTCAAATCTCTTCATTTTTCAACAACTTATTGTGAATTCATACAATCTCACTTTCAACTCGTTTTTCTTTCAAATTCATTTAAATTCACTCTCTCAAAATTCATTTTAAAAAACAAATACACCTTTTAAAGTGTGAAATTTAGTATGTCTAAGTTTTAAAATTAGGTTAGAAACTACTTTTAAATAATAAGATGACATTAACTTTTTTTTTTATTTAGACTTATAAGTTCATGAGTCTATTGAAAATGATTACGAAAAAGTGATAAAGTCAATAAGATATAACCCAATCTACACATAACATATTAATACTATTTTAAATTAAAATCTTAAGATATTTGAGTTTACATATTAGACTTTTTCAATTTTATTTAATATAAGACTTAGAATTATATTTGAATTTTTTAATACAAATATATTTATTTACCATCTCTATAAAAAAAATCAAATACTTATCTTCTTCTATTTGTACTATAACAGCACCCTCTTGATTTTTTTACACTATGATGCATTCGTAATGATATGATAATAATAAGTGCAATAATCTTAACAAACATAACCGACAAAAAAATTCTTCACAATATTTATCATTTCATTTAATGTAATTGCTGTGAGGCTTTTAGTGATGTTGTTAGGTAAAGGTCTATATCTACTTGTAAATATTTTTTACGATGACAATAATACAAGAGATTGTCGAAAGATGAATGCAACAATAATGGGAAAAATGTACATTAAATTATCCTTTTTCAAGTTTGTCTCTTACTATACAAGAGATGTTTCTTTTGGCCATTTTTTCGCCTCCTTTGATTTTTGGGTAGGTCTCATTATCTAATACATTTTTAAATAAATTAATAAGAGTTGTTTATCATTTAAAAAAAATATCAATTAATATTAACTATAAAATATTACATATTTTAATATGTAATAGAACAATCACACGTTAATCATTTAACAAATAAATTAAATGAAAGAGACTCGTTATTTTAAGACAAACTTCAGACTTTATTCGATTAGTTATTTATTACTTTTTTCGTTTTTTAAACAATTTTAAAACGTAATAAAATGAAATTAAAATATTGAATATAAAATAACAAAATTTCCTTAAAAAACGTTATTGTATAAAAGAGAGAAGTATTAATTTCACGAGTATCACATTTTTAAAGTGGTCCTATTATTATTATTGATGTTTTCAACTAAGTTAGGCGCAATTAGGGTTTTGATTCATTAAGAAGTAAATTTATTGATGAGAAAACAAAGGAATGTGCAATAATTGGAGGCACGTGGTAGAAATTAATTTGAAGTTAAATACCTAAGCACAAACCAAATTGTTTTCTTTTTCTGTCTCTTGAACAGTACTGAGCAAAACATACTAGCCCAGTATCACATTTTTAGTTGGGTGTTAAATGAAGATAACATGTCTCACTAGTTAAGACAATGATAGTTTGACAATATTTTTTGACAATATTTTATCATCATCTATGTGTCATTTTGTGATTAGTCCATGTAGGTGTTCATGATTGTTATTATTGATTGTAGAGTAATTTTGGATCAATCATAGAATGACACGTAGATGATGTTAAAATATTGTAAAAAAATATTGTCAAAATATCGCTATCCCACTAATTATGGTTCACTTCGAATTGAGCTGGCCAAATGTTAAATGTCAAAAATTGTAACTCGATGATAGATTAGTTAATTGATTTAGTTTACGGATGTTTTATTTATATGACTTATTTATATATTTATTATAGTATAATGAAAATTGATTGCTTAACTTTTTTTTATAATTGTGGAATTAAAATGTTTATCCAATTATTTAAATATTATTATAAAGATAATAATTAAAAATTAAAATATTAATATATATAATTTGGTAAATAAATAAATTAATTATATAGATTATTCAAATATTATTTAATAATGTTATAGTATTTAAAAATATTAAATTCTAAATCTATATAATTAGTAGTAAATTATTATAAGAAAATGGTAAAAAAAATAGTAAACTATTATTGCTGATAGATAATGTTTATACTTACATGTATATTTGGTTTAATGTCTAGTTGATTTTTAGACTTTCAAAACACTCATTCACATCGAAACGCATACGTTCAAAGCGTGAGACTAAAATTAATGGATTTTTCGATAACAACTCAATAATGAATGAAACAATAAACCTAACAAACTACAAACTCTTAAAATAAGCTCTAACCCAAAAGAAATGAACTTTAATTTAACCCAACCGTATAAAATTGACTTATAAAATAAAATTTACACTTCTTATATATATATATATATATATATATATATATATATATATATATATTATAAACTAGTCTAATCTTTGATCGATATAAAATTTGTAAAGTTGAAATAAACTTTTTAAGTCTATTTATTAATCCTAACTAAATCAGTAATGGTCTGAATCCTTCTAATTTTAATGAAAAATTTCTTCTTTGAATAATAATAAAGATACAAGTATAAATAATATTTAGATTTTTTCTTTTAAATTTGATATAGTAACAAATGATGTACATATTTACCTAACTATTATTTTAAATTGTTAAAATACAATTTATAAGATGAATTAAAAAATTTATGTTAATTTTATTTGAGTTTAGTTTGATGACTTATTTATAATACATTCATTTTATCGTTTTTATTTATTTTTATAAGCATTTGACATGTATCCAATAGTTATTTAATGTTTATAAAATTATAATTTTTTTTATTGACACTTAACATTCAAGAAAAGAAAAAATTCTTACAATATTGAATACTCAATAATATCATATTTTTATTTATATTTTTGTGTGTGTAAACTCATATTTAACTAATGCTTGTAATTATAAAGAAATTGTACAAATATACCAATTTCTGATGGGATTAAAAATAAAACAAGAGTTTCATACCCATGTAAAAAGTAAACGAAGTTTTACTTTGAAATAGGGATAGATACTCAAACTCACATCCCTCTTCTTCTTTAAAGTGATAAGATAAATATGTAAAATATATTACATCAATTACAATAAAAAAATAATTTGAATAATAAACTTTTCATCATTAACATTTTCTTATGTAGAAAGAGTGGAAGTTGAATAAAGTTGTTTAATGGTTTAAGATAGTGTTCTTATCCAATTTGGCATCACTGTTTGATTGCATATAAAGGTAAATGTGCTGTATTTTTTGGTGTAGATGGATCACATCATCATCAAAGGGTGTTCCTTTCAAATGCTTCGACAATTTATTAATTTTATTGTGTTTTCTTTCCCAAACAGTTTCGCTCACTAAACTACTTTTTGGTTTTTGAAGTCAAGTATCAAGCCAATGGCCTTTTGTTCCTCGCTAAGGCCAAATAAATTCAACACCTCTTTGCTAAAATAATTATAAACTCAACTTGTTTCTTTCTATCTGATTATTGGTAGTAAATTGTCAAAAAGAAGGTGGTGACCTACTCGATCACATATCTCTTAACTACAAACACATCAAAATCGATAGTAATTATCTTCGTATCCATAACTTTCGCATGATCTCTACTTTCATAGTTTCATTTCTTTTCTTAACCAATGGTATCAAAATAGGATGAAATTTGTGAGTTAATTCGGTTAACTACGAATTCGAGCTAGGTTAAGTTAAAAAAAATTGATATGGGTCAATTTTGAATCCAATCCATTAAGAACCTAGCTCGTTTGGATTGAACTTATAGTGAACCAGATTGGCTCTCTAATCCACCTAATTTTATTTTTTGTGTTTGTTTTTTATTATATTTGGAGTATAAGGTGATTTTGAATTGTATTTGGATTATATTATATTTTATTTATTTTGAATAGTGTTTGTAATTTAACATTATTTTGAAATAACATTTATTTATATTTGAATTAGAAAAAAATTGATAATTTTTTAGAATTGAAAAAAAAATGCCTTGAGTGAACTAGTAAATAAACCCATTTAACCTACCAACTTATCAATTTATGATGAGTTAGGTCGGGTTTGAATTTTTTTAACCTAGCCAATAAGTGAGTCATATTAGATTGATTCACTAAATGATCAATCCATGATAAGTCAAATGGATCGGGTGATCCATTTTAATAATGCTAACTTTAACCTGACTTAATTTGAGCTAACTAATTATATTATATTTATTTATTTTTTATAGATTGGTTTGTGTTTATCGAAATTGAATTTTCTAATAAATAAAATTTTCGAATTCAACCTTCTAGAAACATTATTAATATATTTGACATCGAGGTTCATTATAATAAAATTCTTACTACTGCTCTCATAAAATGAAATAGATTTATTATATACTTTTAGAAAACCATACTCAATTCACAAATTATCACTATATATTATCTAATTTGAACCTACTACATATACTAAACTAGAAAGTTCATGAAAATTACAAATGAGAAATTATTGTCTTAAACATTACTTAATATAAAATAGAAATTGTAAATTATTTTTTGTTATCTCTTGCTTAGAAATAGGAATTAATAATACCAATCTTCTTGATAAAATTCTTTGTTAATAATATAATTTTCATGCCTGACTAAGAAATAATATTGTTATTATAAGATTTTCTGTATCATTAAAATGATCTTATGCATCTTTATTAAATCTTACCTATTATTACTCCTTTATCTATGTTTTTTTTACTTATTTCAATAAAAGTAGTAAATTAATACCCAACTCTTAAGATTTAACTTGATTAACCTAATTATATTTTATTTCTAATATTTTTTCAAATTAGATAATAAATATATGTGTGGGTATAAACATTGTCAAACAAGTTAATTGTGTAACATTAGATTAAATTTAAAATTCACCAATAACCATAATATCTAATTGTATTTTATTTTTAATATTCCCTTAAGTTAAAAAAAATACATGTTCATGATTTTCAACTTGTTGATAAGATTATTAAAAACAGTAGATATACAATCCTTTAATAAGATTATTACATACAAACTCAGAAATAAAATAATTGATTATATATAATATATGATTATATTTTAAATTTCATTCTAATAATCTTCATCATATACAATTTTATCTTACCATATTCCATTCAAACACAGTTTTTTCATCGTTTAGGTATCACTCGTATTATTCTCTTTACAATAACTTATATTTGGTAATAGTTATGAATTGGAAAAATATTTAAAAAATAAATAAATATTCTCACTATCAATATGACAAATATAAGTGTTATATATTCACAACAATTTCATATGCCATAAATGATTACAAATGATTAATCTTATGACAAATTACAAATTCTTTTAAGTAAATCTAATGTGACATAACACAAGGTGAGAACAAATTTTAGGAAATTAAACTTCAATATTGTTAAACTATTAATCTTCACTTTCAATCAATTATCTTTCAACCTAATATTTAGAAATAAAATCTAAATATGATTTTCAACACACTAATTCCAAGTTAGATACATATGCAGCTAAGTTATTGCAATAATACATCTTCTTTCTTTGTTTTCTATTTTTACTAAATCCAGTACAAAGCTTTAAAACAGTTAAATTAAAAAAAAAATTAATATTTAAATAATATTTTTTGGAAAAAGAAATGTAATATAAATAGAATTACATTAAATATTTCATCGAGGAAAAGTCACCCTAGTTATTGAAACAATAATAAATTTTTAAAACATTAAGAGAATATTCAAATTTATGCTTCAACAACTCAAGATAACAAAATTATGATAATTTTAATACGAAATTAACCTTAGTTTATGTTGAACAAGTGGAAGAATATATATTTTTTTAAATTATTTAATGAACTAAAGACATATTACAGTTAAATCTCATTTAAGACATATGATTTTAGTAATTTACTTTGGTGGATATATTCTCCTTAATTTAAAGGAATCATATGCAAAACCTTTTAAATATACATTTTACCTTTTTAAATTCAATCTCACTTTAAAAAAAATCTTTTGATTTTTCTTCAGTGGTGAATCGTAAAAGTTGTAATATTCTCCACGTGTCACTTTATGAACCATGTGATGTATATCGAAGCAGTTGATAGACGGGCATCTGCTATTTTGATAAGAGAATATCTCAAAGTAGTGAATCCATCTAGAGGAAATATATATATAAAACCTATGTTCATTTCTTAAAATGGAAATTTTAACTTTTTAAATTTTATTTAAATTTATTAGTAGTTAAAGTAAATATTTTTTTTATTAATTGTCACATGTATTTATTAAAATAAAGGTTAACTATGTAATTAATATTGAAAAAATTATTAAAAATTCTAAATTTACAATGTAAAAACAAGAAGTTAACACCATATATAATTATTAAAGACTAAACTTATATTTATCTATTAACACAGTTTAGATAAAATTAAGGTAATTAAAGTTTTTATAATAAAATTATAATTCTTTTATTGTATTGAAAAGAATCTCTTTCTAATACTTTTTATAATGGATTCAGTGTAATTAAAAAAAAAATATTTTTACATTAATTTGACATTATTTTTTATTATTTATTTATTTATTTTTTATATAAAAATAAAAAGATTTATATTTTTATGACCATTTTACGTTTGTAAATGAATATAAAAGACTGTTATATACAGTTAGTTCTTATTTTTACACGTCTAAAGTAACTCTATTAAAGAATTTTCAACATTGAAAATTTTCACTGGTTTTATCAAACTCTGGCAGGGAGAACAGCAAATCTAACAGAAACATTTACTGTGGCAACATTTGGTATAAGATTTAGCATTTAAGTACAGAAAAAGACAACTCATGCAGCTGATTCCGAGTTTCTTTTTTCTCTGACAGTAAAATATGCTATGTGTATTTTTAGCATCTTAAACAGAAAGTGACACACAAAATCTGATAATTAAGAACATAGTACTGTAGATTCAGACATATTACATTCATTTGGTAATACGTTTAAAAAGGAAAATAGTCATAAAAAAATAAACATTTATATTTGTAAAATAAAAAATTAAAAAAATTGTGTGTCAGAAATGTTATTACTGGAAAGAATGAAGCAAAAGAACAAAACAGCAATACATATGGTGTGTTTGTTGTTGCTATACAGTTCAGCTGCATAGTGTTTTCAGAAGAAGCCAAGCTCCAAAAGCATACTAAAAGAGAAGCAAAAGGCAATTAAGTTAAGCACTTTAAAGTTTTAGCCACTCGTCCAGCTGCCAAACAAGACACAAACTTTCAACTTTGAGAGGACAAGGACATGGCCATGCACCAAACCAAGAGAATATAATTAATACCCATCATGAGTTCATAATATTTTTTTATTGTCTAATTTGATGCTATACAATTCCTTTCTACAAGCCACTATGTACATTTAGCATCACATACCAGTACCCAAATGCCATTCTTACACAAACATAAAGTACCCCCACTCTATGTTATATTATTATTACTTGCTTTTTGACACAACTTTTTCTTCCTATTGTTTTTGTCCTATACAACAAGATAGAGCAGTAGTTTCCAACACCGGCCTCAGTGACAGGGCACAGGTATTGCAACTACATGAGATAATGTGCATATTTTTGAGATGGTGCCAACTAAGGAAGTGGTAACAACTGCTGTATCTTTTTGGTATAAATATTGATTGGTGAATGACACAAAACCACTATACAACGTTGTATTCTATAATCAGCCCTCCACCCATTGGAGCTCTGTGTGGAATTCCTTTCCTTCTCTTTGCAGTTCTGTAATTAGCCACTGTTGGTGGTGGTGTTGAAGGTGTAAAGCTATGGATTTTGCTTCTGCCATTTACATTGCTTATGCCGTTCACTGATTCTTCACCATCAGACCCTTCTGTCTCACCTAACATTTTCTTCTTCCGGAACTTTTTGGAGGTTCCAACAATCTGAGAACAAAATTTATTAGTCTAAAACATCATTCATTCATTCATTCATTCATATCCACCTGTTCTCATCACCATTCTTCTTACTTTTTCAAAGCAAGCATAAAAAGTACAACCATAATGTTACATACTTTATACAGCAAAAAAGAAAGAGGTAGTTACAATCACAAAGGTTGTACTACTTTACACATAACATATCTCAAAAAGTTTTGAAATCAATTCATCACACTTCATAACAACTACTGCAATTCAAAGATGTAATCAGGATTATAGATGAAAATTTGGGTTTATGCATATGTATACCTTACAACCAAGAGAACAGAAGCTGAAGGAATCAAGAAGGCTGCGGTCACAGACTTGGCAGGTATTGGTGACCCCTTTTCCAGGCCTTGGTTGGGGCCTTTCATTCAAGAACACAATCTTGGCACTGTTAATAATGTAAGTTTGGACGCCTGTTATGTCCAGAAATTTCTGTATCTCAGACACCCTTATCACATCATGGTATGAAGATCTCCTTATCTTTGGAAATTAATCAAATTTAAAAGAAAATAAGAAAGAATCTTCATCAGATGGTGAAACAAAATACTGAAATTCATAAAAGAAATACAATCATCTACCTAAACAGAATCAATGGACTGTACAATAGAGTGATAAAAAAAATTCTTCCATGAAAAAAGAAAATGGCGATTTAATGACTAGGGAAGTTTGCAAATTCAGCATTAAATGGCACGTGTAACCCATAAAACCAATACAAGAGGCATAAATTTTTCGGGCCGATCAAAAGGGATTGGATTCAAATCCCAAAAATGTAGGAACAAATAAACTGCAAAATCAGATTAAACACACCCGAATCCTTGAATTTCGACCATAAACCCCAACATAATTTGATCAAATTGAGCCACGAAACCCCATAACACAATTTCTTTTCAGCTGAACACGGTACCTGGATTGTTCTGTGTTCTTTGTGGGAAGCAAGACAAGCAGAACAAAGGGCTCCATTCACACAGTCCAAGCAATACATATTGCATTCATTCTTGTGGGAATCAGCGTGGACTTTGCATTGAACAAAAAAACTCGTCTTGAGAAGTGGCCGCAGCCAGGAAGGCCACGAGTTTTCTTCCTCCTTTCCCCCCACAACACCATGTTCTTCATTGAAACCTCTCTGATCCCACACCCCAGAAACAAAAAAACAAGCAAGATTGTAAATTGATAGAGAATTCAAGAAAAAAACACGAAAAAATAAAAAAACATGATAAAGGGGTGGTTGGATGTTTGATATTTTTGCATTGATTGAATGGTATGAATACTAACCATATATAATTGTTGTGGATGTTCGTTTGGGCTACGATAGCATAGGAAGAAAGTGATGAAATAGAGGTGAAAAGAAGAAGAGAAAAAGAGAAATTTTAGGAAGTAATAGAGTTGAGAGAGAGAGAAAGAGAAGGAAAAAGGTTGAAAGAAGGAAGTGGGGGCATAGTTTTGTAGTGGCGGGTGATGGAGGCTAAAGCTATGCAAGTGCCAAGTGCTTGTTATCTTTCTTTTCTTCTTCTCCTTCTTCAAACTCCGAACCTCTCTCCGAACCCAAACCTACCAGGCTGCGTCTTCTTCAAGGAACTTACCCAGTCTCATGTGGTCACCTCACCTTCCGTTTTATTCGTTAATTTATTATTCCTAATTTTTTGTGATCAAATTATTTTCCTATTTAATAATATTTTTAACTAAATAATACAATATAAAAAAAAGGATTTGCTTATCATGCTCGTACAAATTAAATATACTATCTTATCATTCGATCAGATGGAATAACAAATAGGATAATTTAATAAGTTCTTTTAAGCTTTATTATTAAGCAATTTATATATTATAATGAAATTTTGGTAATTTGATAAGTTGATTTTTATCATAATTATATATTATAATCAAATTTGAGAAATTTAGTAAGTTAATTATTATTTATTGTTCTAATCCTATAAATATGATATTATTTGTAAAATACTCATTTTATAAACATTCATATTTACCTTATTTTAAAATATCATAATTTATTTGATTTAAATTTTAGAAAAACTCTTAAACTTCAGAAAATATTATGTACGTAATCTTTCCTTTCTCAATAATAACAAAATTCTTTTAAAGTAAATAAAGTAATTAAAATCTTACCATCTAATACAAATAAAAACATCTAAAAAATAATAATAAAGAATTTAAATGAAAAATAATGATGAAATCATAGTTAGAATCTCACCGTCTGATCTAAACAGGAACGTGTTATAATATTCCTATTATATACATAATTATTCTTTCAATACTCTAATATGCTTATTAAAATCGTCAAAAAAAGTTACATAACCTAAAATGAATAATATTTTTAGTGTGATATTCATCATTAGAGAAATTATTTATTGAAATGAGAACCTTTATCAAATATTATAACCAGCTTGAAATATATATATATATATATATATATATATATATATATATATATATATATATATTAATTTGGATTGAATTGATGAATTAGTTTAATTTTTAATAGAGTTATTTTATGAAAAATAGTGTATATAAATTTATAGATGCAATTATTGTATATAAAAAGAAAATATTTGGGGTTCTCCTACAAGTTGGTGTGATTTAGTAACATCATTTTTTGATTTTTAAGTGTAGGAATGTCATACTTGATTGGTATTGAAGTTTTTGTAATTCAATGATGATCTATTTTTAATTTACTGTCACTATCTTTCAACCATATCTTATCACAATTTCATTTAATTGATTCCGTGATGACAACGTGTTGTATAAAATGAATATTTGTTTTTTAATTTTGGACCTCCAAATTTTTTTTTTAATATATTATTATGATTACAATACAGTGACATAATTTCAATGTTTTTTATTTAAATGAAAAATCGTCTTTAATGTATCAAGGAATTTAAGTTATAACTTTGTTAAATAATTTGAATACATTTTCTTTTCATTTTTAGAATAATTATCTATTAAATTGTTTCCACGTTTTTATGTATTTTTTTCAATTACTTACATTTTTATTAATTGTCTTTTCAGAGTGTAGTAATCTAATAGTGAGAAAGATTTACCAAAAAAAAACCTTAATTATTCACTTAAACTGGGGAACGTGTTATTTTCATCATCTCTATAAATAAAATTAGTTAATAATTATTATATCTAGATTTTAATCATTAAACAAGTATAAGGTGTCAGAAAATACATTATTTAGTATAATACCTTGTAATGTTGACTTTCAACCACAAATAAGAATATCTATGACTTCGACCTAAACCTGATTTGGACTAAGAATTATTTTTGGGTGATATTCAATATTAGAGGATTGGAAAGTAAATAGTGTAGTATTTATTAAATTTATACAATTAATTTTAAAAAATCATTTTTAAAGTTTTTATTTAAGTATCAATAAAAATTACTATGCTACTCTTTTTGTCCAACATAAAAACGGCATAAAATTAATTTTACTAGTAATATTTTGGATAATAAACAAGTTCTAAATATATGATCAAACATGTAAAAATTTATTTATCTAACATGTTAACTCAAATTCTATTAATTTAAATATATATATAACAAATATGTTATTCTTTGTTTATTATAAATGATCGTCTTCTTAGAATTTTGTCCTCTCTGAATTTTTAAGACGACTATCTATCTTTTTTTTTTCTCCTTTACTGGAAAATTATAAATATTAAATCAATGATATATTGTAAAAAAAATTAATAATGTAATTTTTTATTCTTGTTATATATAAGTTTTTTTAAGCTTTGTTTTTGTGAAACAGATATGGAGTTACGATGACTTTCCACTAATTTAAAGTTATAATGATATGTTTTTGTTGATGAATTAAATTTTCTAAAATTTTATTAGAGTTACCTATTTCGAAAAATTATTTGGAAACAAAGAATGTTAACAAAAGAAAAATTATCGTAATTAATTAATAAATAAGTTTTGAGGAAGAATTTTGTTTATTTGGGAAAAGTTGATATTCTTCTTTATATAAATAATAACAAGATAACATAAGACATCACATGAAATAAAAATATCTGAAATGTTACTTTATCCATCTCTTTTTATCATTAAATTTATTTGCAATAACTTTTGGATATATTAAATAGCTTGTATTTAAGGCTTTTATTTATCAACATATATAAATAAATAAATAAATAAATAAAATATAAATAGAGATTTTTTTCCAATCGAAATTCATAAAGCCCAGACATAAAGATTTAAGTCACACGTATCAAAGATGAGTGTGTTGTCCCTTTCTTTCACATTCTCAAAGCAGTTATTAAACTCATCTCATTTATAGTATGAGTAAAAACTAACGACCAACCTTCCCTTGTTTTTTTCTTTTTTTTATTACCTTTTTATTTATTTATAAATAATAATACATAAAACATATTTTAAATTAAATGATATATAAAAAGAGTGTTAACAAGTTAAAAGTAAAATATTAAAAGCTAAATTATATAGTATTATCACAATGATGGAAGCTTTCCACACAAAATAGTTCAACTTAAGAAATAACTTAAGTTTAGATTGTCCTGTAATAAATTTCCATTCAAGTTATTACGTAGAAAAAAAAAATCTAAATTAAAATTATAATGTAAATTACTTTGATTGTAAACTTATATATAAGGGAAACGTTTGTTAGACATGATAACGTGATTAAGGAATATAAATAAACACATACAAGACATATATATATATATATATAATATTTTATTATTTATTTTCTTGAAATAGATGAGTCATCTTACATCCATGTGTTACAAACTCATTCTCCCATGTGCCAACCCAAAACAATTTTCCAAACTTAATCAACCAAAGTCATGACCAGGTGCAAATTCGTTAAATTTTTATATAGTTTAATACCAGTTTCTCACTAATAATAGCTCCCACCCTTTAAAATATGTATATATATTATGCCATAATGGACAAACAACATGGGGAATATGAAAAAAATGGTTGTTTGGAGAAAGACAAGAAATGATTTAGATAAGATTGATGTTTTGTCTTTAGAATGCAATGTTGCATTGTTTCATGGTCGTACAAGAAGAAAGTTCCATTTTCTTTTGCTCACATTGATTTGGAAGACAAAGATAGTGTTAAAAATGTATTTTTGATGGGAAGATATAAAAAGTTTGAGATGTGATTTCATTTGATACAACATATATAATCATATTTCATTTCCCTCTCGTTATTTGAAGGATGCTGATGAATACAGAAGCATGATTCTTATAAAAGAAAAAGGAATTTAACAGCAGTCTGACAAAGAAGTTATACTGGGCCTGTGAGTCTATACATTCAACTCAAATTTCAATTTGAATCAAATTCGTTCTTCCAAATCATTTAATCAGTTAAACCATCTTTTTTTTTTTCAGGAGAGAGAAACAGCAAGAAGTTTACAAAGAGGAATGCAATTGTACAATCTAGTTTCCTTCCTATGGATGTTGAACACTTTCCTCAATTTTTCTCGATGAATACGGGTGTTCATGTTGCATTTATCACTTTCAGTATTAAATTTCTTCATTATTTATTTGTTAATGTATATACCAGGATTGGAATCATTGTGTTTGTTTGTTTTTTTCACTACAATTTTATTATTTATTTCTCTATAGTTGCTTGCTGATACTTGATCCACACTATATAGCTATACGCCTCTGCGCTAGCTGCCATTGATTATTTGTTCTTAGGAAGAGGCCTATATGAAGCCTAAACCAGGGAGTTTGTTTAGCACGTTAACATGTATAAAAAAATTGTATGCTTTTCTCCAACATGTCAGTCAATACAATTTGAAAAAAAAAATGAATGATACATATACGAAAAACATAGCATTGAATAAAAGTAAATTAAAGCAAAAGAAAACTGACGTATAATCCTATGATACAACTCTCTACAAGTATCATAGTTTATGACCATCAAATACAAGCACCACACCAACACTATACCATTTTTGGCCTACGTAGGTCTCAGGTTTGTTATCTTATATTCTATATTCTGATTCTAAGTCCGTCGAATAACTTGTTAGAATCGGTTTCTCTGATTTTAAGACCGTCGAATAACTTGTTAGAATCGGTTTTTCTGATTTTAAGACCGTCGAATAACGTACTTGAAATCGAAACATTGATACCTCAAGATTCCTGGCCAGGATTTTCTGCTCTTCAAATTAACCGATGTCACAGAACCCAAGATTTGACACTGGTGATGAAGATGCAGGCTCCGAAGTTCAGTTTATCGTTGAGTATCATTGTTAAATGTTTCAAGAGAATATACGTACATGTATCAATGGGTTCCAAGTGGGGGAAAGGTAACTTATCTATTGTACTTCATCTTCAACAATTCCTTCAAAAACCAGATATTGAAGAGCTATGGAGTACTTTGCAGCTTTGATCACAGCTGTGTTGTGATCGGTTGGTGAATGACTCTTATCTTTCAGAATAAATGATCCAGATGCATCCCCTTCTGTAATATAGTGACAAGAAAAAACCCATGAATTGATTAATCGTTTTAGGAGACCTGGTACGAGAGGCAGCTAGGCTAACCTTGGATAGTAAAAGTGGTTTGTATCCATTTCTTATAGATGAAGTGAAACCTTGGAGAGTCTCTCTGATGAGTATGAGTATCCGAGAAGAGAACCTTGCAAGACCCCTTTTGACTGCCACACAATTTAGAAAGAGAACCTATTCATTATCACAATCATATTATTTGATGTGCAAGTTAAGCAATCTGATACTGGGTTGAGTTTGAGTTGAGTTGAGATGCCTGTAGTAATATTCATTCAAACTGTCAACAACAGCGATGGACACTTACTTTGCAAAAGTAATTGCATTGTGGCATAAGGCTAGAGTTTTGACCATGGCCATGTCTCGTCCGCGGGGATTAGAATATCGTTGTTGGCAGATCCTTTTAAGATGGAACGGAAACCAAAATCAAAAGAAGGCATTCAAAGGGTAAGCTGTAGAAAGCAGAAATAGGGAAAATTACTTGTCGTCAAAGAAATCACCAAAATCATCAATAAGAACTGCTGCAGGCAATTTATCATACAGGTGGAAGGCAGCAAAGTACTTCCTGATGTCTTCATCATCATTCACGTACCTCGAACAAACAGTAAACAAAATTGAGCATAAGATGATGATGATGATCATCATCATGATGAAATAATAGAAATGAGAAGATACTTCATTTGTATACGGTGGAAGACATGAGAAGATGGATCAATTCCCTGAAATTCAGAAAAAAGCGAGTTAGCAGAAACGAAAAGGAAAAAAAAAAAGAAAAAAGCAGAGAGATTGGTGACCTGCGAAAGAAAAGGGGGTTTGGAATCCAATCTTTGGCGGTTGGAAATGAAGATGACGTTATGGGAGTGAAGTGCTACATTGAATGCAAATTGAAAAAGCAGAGAAGTTTTCCCACTGAACATTGATTCATTCGTTCGTTCACTGGTAAAAATATAAACAAGAAATTATAGATGGAAAATGAAGAAAGAGTGAGAAGAAAATACGAACGAAGAAGGAGGACCAGAAAGAAGGAGCAGATTCGAAGGGTTTTGAGAAGGTAGAGGAAAATGGCTGCTACAGAAGAACATCTCCATCAACCCTTCACCACCTTCACAGATTTTCTACTTTCAATTTCAGAGGAAGCTATTCCGATTACACGACAACCTCAAACTTATATTTTCTCGTTCTTAATTCAAACGAAATAGAAACGCAAAAAATTTCTTACTTCCTTTGGAGAGAAGTAAGAAATGTCTGAGATAATATTTTGTTGATGATGTTTAAGTTAATAATTAAGAGCAATTTAATTGTTCATCTCAAAGACTAGAAAAATAAAGCATTACGAATTCTGGGAAGATCTAATTAGAACAGTTAATTAAAGAAATTAGAGAGTAAATTTGAATAATAAATTTAGAAGAAAGAAATTATAATTTACTGAAAATGTAATTGAGTGAAATGTATTTTAAATTACTCAATGATGTATTTGCTGCATATATTTTTAGTTTAAAATAATCTATCAGAGTATTAAAGGATTTATATTGAAATTCATTCTTTTCAAATACTATTTTCCTTAGTTTTGAATAAATTTTGAAATATTAATGGCAAATTTCATTTATTGCTTTTAAATCCAAAGCAAAATCGGGTTAAGAGATGTTAACTAGAGATTCTTTATGACACTACTTTTGATATAAAATTCATATAGTAAGATCTAAATGAATTTTAATTAATAAAAATTCATTTGAAAAAATTATAAAATTACTCCAACGTCATTTTATGAAGTGGGTCTTCCGAATAAAACACATGCCTAGGTTATCACCCTTGAAGTTACTAATTTTATTTATAACATTAATTTTTGACTAATAATATTCACTTTATAAAGTAAGAAATAGAGATGTCACATTACATGTGACATTTAAGATGATCTCACCACTGTGTGTGTACTGTTTAATAATTTTCTAAATTCTCATATAATATATCCATCCTAATATAACGATTAGAACAAAATAATAATTTCAAAATTTTAATAGTTAAAAGAATTAAAGATAAACAAAATATTACTTGTTTTATAAAAACTAAATTAGTGGTTTAAATTATAGAAATTAAATAACACCAAATTTTATAAAAGCTCAGAAATAAAACCTGTTCACTTAAAAACACGAAATATGTTTAAACCAATGAAAAATAAAAGGATAATGATAATTTGACAACGTTTTAATACTGTCTACGTGTCATTCTGTGATTGGTCCAAAATTATTCCACAATCAATAATAATAATCATAAACACCAATATAGGTAAACAGTGTTAAAATGTTCTCAAAGTATCATTATCCAAAATAAAATATCAAATTCATAATTCACGCACTTCGACGACGCATCTATGTTCTAAAAAAAAATTTAAATGAAGACACACTTATTTAAAAAATCAAAACATTTGAACATTTATTAAATTTTTCTAAATAAATAAAAAATATAAATAAATTTCTTTAGATAAATAAAAAATATAAAAAGTACTTCTGAATTGATCTCTTCCTTTAAAAAGTTTAAAATTAAATTTGCTGAGTAATAACTTAATTTCACTTTTACATAAAATACTCTTTTAAAATTATCAAGAACTCCCACAAAGTTATAGATCTTTACACTTTTTAAGATAACATTAAAGTATCATTAACTAATTCACTCTCAAATATATGACAGATTACATAACATAATCATTGCCTGGTCATTATGTAATTAAGCATTCGACATACTTTACACTCCATACTAATTAAAAAAAGCAGAAACCCCTTAAAAGTTATAACATTCTGAAACTTGGAAGTTCGACCCTCGAAATACATTCGTTTCCTTGGATTGTTTTGGTTTCTTTGCAACATTTGTTTCACAATCAACCACATAAGTTGCATTTTTACCAAAACTTAATCATTTTATTCCAAGAGGGTAGCACCATAATTGCAGCAAGTATGCAATTTACGGCGGTAGAGTCACAGCAAAAATCAATATCAAATTCGTGACACCGATAAAGATGGACTATCAATATCAGAACGACTGAAAACGGTTAAAACCTGATTGAACCTCCTTTATCTCGCTTGCTCCATTTAATGATTATGACCATCCAGTTTGTCAACATTTTTGTTTGTGACAATCTCATATTTGAACAGTTGATAACACGCAAATGCAGGTGAAAATGAATATGGGTACAAGGAAAAAGAAGTTAAAGTAATGAAGTGAATTCAGCCCCGCAACTATCTCTTCTTCCCACTGGCGTCCAAATTGAACTCCTGGAGATTGAGTAAGAGATCATCTGAATTCAAGAAAACCTTGTTGGCAGAATTTGAAATCGTTTGAGCAATTTCCCTTGCAGCTTCAATTTTCCTTAAGGTGATAAATGCAGGATTGTTGGCTATAGCTTGACCAATCAACTGGGCACTCTTGGCTTCACCCTGTTTGTCAAAAAGAAGGGAACGTTATACACAAACAATAGAATTGTAAACGCAGCTGTCTGTATTCATTTCTAGAAAAAAGCTGTACGGCATCATATTAAAAGGAATTACTTGTAAGAGGGAGGTTTAACGTCCTTCATGCATGACCAGTTTCAACAGATAGGGCAATTGAAGATAATTTTATAAAGAACAGGACACTGGGGGAGCGGAATGGTAGAAGGCAGTAGAAAACAAATTATTAATATTCCTTGGTGTCGAAGTTCACAACTAGATACAAGTACCACTCACAATATCACTCTTCCTTTTAATTCGTATGGTTTGGTCCAAATTCAGAAACGATAAAAATATAGAAGCCACTCGTCGGAATACTAAGAATCGAATCAAATGTAAAAATGGGACAACTCATTTTTACCTGAGCTCTAATAACAGCACTTCTTTTGTCTTGTTCAGCTTTTTCAACAACAAATTTAGCTCTCTCAGCTTCTTGAGCAGCAACCTGCTTGGCTTCAATGGCAGCTGTAAATTCCTTCCCAAATGACAAACTTGTGATTGACACATCATCCAAAGCAATGTTAAAATGGGAGGCCCTCTCAGTCAATATCCTCCTTATTTCTCGACTGACGGTCTGTAAAACAGTATGTTCTAGAAACAATCAGTCCCACCTATAAGGCTATAATTTCGTTTTCATACTTATTCCAAAAGGTGAATTTACCAGATTCCTAAGAATACAATACGAACTCCAACTGAGAAGAACAGGGCACGCATTCAATTAGTTGTAAACAAGAAACGAGAGAATCTATGAACATATTTACCTCTCTCTGAGTAATGAGCTGACTGGCATTGTACTGTGCAACTACAGCTTTGAGAGTTTCATGTATAATAGAAGGCAGCACCCTTTCATTATAATTCTCACCCAGGGTTCGATAAATTGTTGGTAATTGGTCTGGAACAGGGCGTGTAAGGACTCTAAGTCCAATTTTCACCTACGACAAACAAGATCCACATTAAATGGTAGTACAAAGTGCTATGAAGTACGCCATGACCAAAAATACAAGGAGATAGAAGAAGATTTATTTGTACATATGCCATTAGAGCAAGCATGGACTATACATTTACATGACCCTTCTAAATCAGTGATAACTGTTCTATCATAAATTAGAATCTCACGGTCATATAGTTTATAGTTCAAATAAAATGGAACTAAGCAAAGTACAAAACATGCAAGGAGGAAGTGGGTTAAATGTACGAAAAACCTCAGAGTCATGTGTTCCAAACATGAATTAAGAAAATGAGGAAACAGTAAGGTATCCGATAGCAACATAAACTCTTAATGCCAACACTCAACAACTCGCTGACGGAGGAATGATTTTCATATAAGCAGACCATTGATGTTTACTGTAAATAAGCACCAACACGAGCTTCAATGTGAGGGAAGATCATGCAACCTCAGCAAAAAAGTATGTTGCTATAAAAAAAATTAATAGAAAAAGGATAATGAAAAACCTATTTGACTCCTTGCAGCTACAAATTCAAGTACACTGAAATGTAATATCTCCAAGAATAAGATAAGAAACAGGACAGACAAAAAGATTTACCATTTGAAGATCACGGCTCCCTGAAGTACTCTCTACTAAATGAGGTCGTGCACGAACGTCATAGATCACAGGCCTCTCAAACCAAGGAATCATAACATGTGTCCCTTCAGGATAGACCTGCATTCAAGAGGCATACTATATTCATATGTTAATTGCAATAAAACTCCTATTCAATATAGGTCTACCTGTGTGTTCGGGAAGTGATTATTTTAGGATAACATCAGGTTTAAAATTTTTCAACAAAGACAGAGATTAAAGGACTATTTCTTCAAAATGAGATTATAATAAACACACACTGAGTGTTTATCAGTCTAAATATCAAATTCTCAAAAGTACAAAGTTATAGACACAGTATGTTCTTGACAGTAAGATTATTAGTCAACCATAAGCCTGAAACCCTTCACACACTAGAAGTGTTACAGGATGACAAGAAAACCCAAATACAAGAATATCGTAAAATCACATGTTTTGAACAAAAGTTTATGANAGAGTATTAAAGGATTTATATTGAAATTCATTCTTTTCAAATACTATTTTCCTTAGTTTTGAATAAATTTTGAAATATTAATGGCAAATTTCATTTATTGCTTTTAAATCCAAAGCAAAATCGGGTTAAGAGATGTTAACTAGAGATTCTTTATGACACTACTTTTGATATAAAATTCATATAGTAAGATCTAAATGAATTTTAATTAATAAAAATTCATTTGAAAAAATTATAAAATTACTCCAACGTCATTTTATGAAGTGGGTCTTCCGAATAAAACACATGCCTAGGTTATCACCCTTGAAGTTACTAATTTTATTTATAACATTAATTTTTGACTAATAATATTCACTTTATAAAGTAAGAAATAGAGATGTCACATTACATGTGACATTTAAGATGATCTCACCACTGTGTGTGTACTGTTTAATAATTTTCTAAATTCTCATATAATATATCCATCCTAATATAACGATTAGAACAAAATAATAATTTCAAAATTTTAATAGTTAAAAGAATTAAAGATAAACAAAATATTACTTGTTTTATAAAAACTAAATTAGTGGTTTAAATTATAGAAATTAAATAACACCAAATTTTATAAAAGCTCAGAAATAAAACCTGTTCACTTAAAAACACGAAATATGTTTAAACCAATGAAAAATAAAAGGATAATGATAATTTGACAACGTTTTAATACTGTCTACGTGTCATTCTGTGATTGGTCCAAAATTATTCCACAATCAATAATAATAATCATAAACACCAATATAGGTAAACAGTGTTAAAATGTTCTCAAAGTATCATTATCCAAAATAAAATATCAAATTCATAATTCACGCACTTCGACGACGCATCTATGTTCTAAAAAAAAATTTAAATGAAGACACACTTATTTAAAAAATCAAAACATTTGAACATTTATTAAATTTTTCTAAATAAATAAAAAATATAAATAAATTTCTTTAGATAAATAAAAAATATAAAAAGTACTTCTGAATTGATCTCTTCCTTTAAAAAGTTTAAAATTAAATTTGCTGAGTAATAACTTAATTTCACTTTTACATAAAATACTCTTTTAAAATTATCAAGAACTCCCACAAAGTTATAGATCTTTACACTTTTTAAGATAACATTAAAGTATCATTAACTAATTCACTCTCAAATATATGACAGATTACATAACATAATCATTGCCTGGTCATTATGTAATTAAGCATTCGACATACTTTACACTCCATACTAATTAAAAAAAGCAGAAACCCCTTAAAAGTTATAACATTCTGAAACTTGGAAGTTCGACCCTCGAAATACATTCGTTTCCTTGGATTGTTTTGGTTTCTTTGCAACATTTGTTTCACAATCAACCACATAAGTTGCATTTTTACCAAAACTTAATCATTTTATTCCAAGAGGGTAGCACCATAATTGCAGCAAGTATGCAATTTAAGGCGGTAGAGTCACAGCAAAAATCAATATCAAATTCGTGACACCGATAAAGATGGACTATCAATATCAGAACGACTGAAAACGGTTAAAACCTGATTGAACCTCCTTTATCTCGCTTGCTCCATTTAATGATTATGACCATCCAGTTTATCAACATTTTTGTTTGTGACAATCTCATATTTGAACAGTTGATAACACGCAAATGCAGGTGAAAATGAATATGGGTACAAGGAAAAAGAAGTTAAAGTAATGAAGTGAATTCAGCCCCGCAACTATCTCTTCTTCCCACTGGCGTCCAAATTGAACTCCTGGAGATTGAGTAAGAGATCATCTGAATTCAAGAAAACCTTGTTGGCAGAATTTGAAATCGTTTGAGCAATTTCCCTTGCAGCTTCAATTTTCCTTAAGGTGATAAATGCAGGATTGTTGGCTATAGCTTGACCAATCAACTGGGCACTCTTGGCTTCACCCTGTTTGTCAAAAAGAAGGGAACGTTATACACAAACAATAGAATTGTAAACGCAGCTGTCTGTATTCATTTCTAGAAAAAAGCTGTACGGCATCATATTAAAAGGAATTACTTGTAAGAGGGAGGTTTAACGTCCTTCATGCATGACCAGTTTCAACAGATAGGGCAATTGAAGATAATTTTATAAAGAACAGGACACTGGGGGAGCGGAATGGTAGAAGGCAGTAGAAAACAAATTATTAATATTCCTTGGTGTCGAAGTTCACAACTAGATACAAGTACCACTCACAATATCACTCTTCCTTTTAATTCGTATGGTTTGGTCCAAATTCAGAAACGATAAAAATATAGAAGCCACTCGTAGGAATACTAAGAATCGAATCAAATGTAAAAATGAGACAACTCATTTTTACCTGAGCTCTAATAACAGCACTTCTTTTGTCTTGTTCAGCTTTTTCAACAACAAATTTAGCTCTCTCAGCTTCTTGAGCAGCAACCTGCTTGGCTTCAATGGCAGCTGTAAATTCCTTCCCAAATGACAAACTTGTGATTGACACATCATCCAAAGCAATGTTAAAATGGGAGGCCCTCTCAGTCAATATCCTCCTTATTTCTCGACTGACGGTCTGTAAAACAGTATGTTCTAGAAACAATCAGTCCCACCTATAAGGCTATAATTTCGTTTTCATACTTATTCCAAAAGGTGAATTTACCAGATTCCTAAGAATACAATACGAACTCCAACTGAGAAGAACAGGGCACGCATTCAATTAGTTGTAAACAAGAAACGAGAGAATCTATGAACATATTTACCTCTCTCTGAGTAATGAGCTGACTGGCATTGTACTGTGCAACTACAGCTTTGAGAGTTTCATGTATAATAGAAGGCAGCACCCTTTCATTATAATTCTCACCCAGGGTTCGATAAATTGTTGGTAATTGGTCTGGAACAGGGCGTGTAAGGACTCTAAGTCCAATTTTCACCTACGACAAACAAGATCCACATTAAATGGTAGTACAAAGTGCTATGAAGTACGCCATGACCAAAAATACAAGGAGATAGAAGAAGATTTATTTGTACATATGCCATTAGAGCAAGCATGGACTATACATTTACATGACCCTTCTAAATCAGTGATAACTGTTCTATCATAAAATAGAATATCACGGTCATATAGTTTATAGTTCAAATAAAATGGAACTAAGCAAAGTACAAAACATGCAAGGAGGAAGTGGGTTAAATGTACGAAAAACCTCAGAGTCATGTGTTCCAAACATGAATTAAGAAAATGAGGAAACAGTAAGGTATCCGATAGCAACATAAACTCTTAATGCCAACACTCAACAACTCGCTGACGGAGGAATGATTTTCATATAAGCAGACCATTGATGTTTACTGTAAATAAGCACCAACACGAGCTTCAATGTGAGGGAAGATCATGCAACCTCAGCAAAAAAGTATGTTGCTATAAAAAAAATTAATAGAAAAAGGATAATGAAAAACCTATTTGACTCCTTGCAGCTACAAATTCAAGTACACTGAAATGTAATATCTCCAAGAATAAGATAAGAAACAGGACAGACAAAAAGATTTACCATTTGAAGATCACGGCTCCCTGAAGTACTCTCTACTAAATGAGGTCGTGCACGAACGTCATAGATCACAGGCCTCTCAAACCAAGGAATCATAACATGTGTCCCTTCAGGATAGACCTGCATTCAAGAGGCATACTATATTCATATGTTAATTGCAATAAAACTCCTATTCAATATAGGTCTACCTGTGTGTTCGGGAAGTGATTATTTTAGGATAACATCAGGTTTAAAATTTTTCAACAAAGACAGAGATTAAAGGACTATTTCTTCAAAATGAGATTATAATAAACACACACTGAGTGTTTATCAGTCTAAATATCAAATTCTCAAAAGTACAAAGTTATAGACACAGTATGTTCTTGACAGTAAGATTATTAGTCAACCATAAGCCTGAAACCCTTCACACACTAGAAGTGTTACAGGATGACAAGAAAACCCAAATACAAGAATATCGTAAAATCACATGTTTTGAACAAAAGTTTATGACTTACTTTGCAGAAGCATTATCTTATCTTATTTGCAAAAGATAAAAAGTCTTCATAAAAGAAGGTAAACTTAAATCTAGGAAAACTTAAGCCTGAGAACCAACTTAGCAAAATACTTACATCCATGAACAAAAACCCTAATAGAATTTTAATATAAATGTTTAGCGAGATCAATCTTGGGTAATGCATTTTCTTTGAATTCAAACGATCCTGGAGGTGGAGGCCATTACAAAAGACAGGAAAGGGCTTCTAAGTTCATTTCCAAAGTTGACAGTTGACACCATATCTGAAGTTTGGAGCAAAAGACTTTCACTAGAGTACAGACATCAACTAAAGATGATGCAAAAAGCATACAAAGTTACAACTAGTTGCATTACAAAAACCCATTCATTAAAAAGCCATGCACAAAGCAATTATGCAGTAACCTGGTCTTTGACACCAAGAATGCGATTGAACACAATGGCTCGATGACCTCCGTCAACATTGTACAAACTGTTTGCAGCTCCATACACAGCAATCCCACCGATGATGCTAGCTTTCAGCAAAGCAGCGATTCCGCCACCAGGAACCTTAGGGACATTCACGTTTTTGAAATTCATCTGCCATCCATTTACACAGCTCCGTTAAGCATCAAAGAGTGTACTAAGTAATGCAGATTTAGCCAGCACGAAGAAATTACACAACAATAAGATAGCGATAGAATCAAGGCAGCTAAGAAAGCTTAAATTGATAAATACCAAACAGTTATTAGGTGAGGAAAACTAGTATGAATCTGTGACCCAAGCATTGGGTCCTTCGAGTAGCAAAAAAACACTTGCAAAACCCTAAACTAGTTGCAGATAGCATTGAACATAAAAACGTTGAATTAAAGAGAAAACAGAGAGACCGTGAAAATTGATGAAATAATAAGATGCGTGTTGCGAACCTTGCAGACAATGGCTGCAGAAGATTCTTTCAGCTGAGTGGCGAGTTATTGAACTAACTCGTTGTAGGGTTTTAGGACTTAGACAAGAGAAGAAGACCAATACTTAGTACCACTGTCTGTAGGTACGGTTTCATTTTTTGCGGGTCGGGTACCCGAATTTGTACTTTTTTAACTAATTTTTCTAAGGCTTTTCAATCAACCAAATTAACAGTATTTAAAAAAAATGTGTTTTTTTTCAAAAAATAAATGTTTAATTTAATTTTATTAAAATGATAATATACTACATAATATAATGCTAATGTTATTATTTGGTAGAATGAAAATTGCTTGATAAATTTAGCTTTAAAGGCTATGTTAAAATAAAAGTATCTTATTTTATCATACGTCCAGTGTGAGAAAGAGATGTTCATTTCATATCAGTTAATTATTTTTCAAATACTGATTTTTTTTAATTTAAGATTTTAGTTCGTTGATTCATAAAAACTTTTTTTAGATGTGTTTACTCCAATTTTATCTTTAAAATATAAGATGTAATAAACCATGTAAGTAAATGAAGATAGACACATAATAATAATAATAATAATAATAATAATAATATCAATAATATTAATAATAATAATAATGTAGATTATATAAACGAGATTGCTAGATTAGCCTATGGATTCAAGTACATGCAATGGATTGTTATGGGCTGGGACAATCATGGTTTTGGGCTGGAAAAACTAAAATTTGAGTCCAGAATTGAATTTCCATTCGATGGCCCACTCCGTTGTGTTAGTGGGCACTTCCTTAAGGCTTTTTAATTTCTGCACCCCCACGATTTTTTCCTGCACTACCAAAATTTTCAAAAATAACATTTATTCTTCATAAAAGTGATTACCAAATTATATATTCTTCATAAAACATGTTATTTATCTTATAATTTTCATTTCATCTCCTTTCATTAAAACCAAATATAGATAGAATTCCTTCATGACTTTATTATTTCTTTTTGTCGGAAACAAGTAATATCCGAAATTTGATAATAAAAGCTAGTTGTGTCCATCGACGAACATGCTTATAAATTGTTTTAGAACTCAAAGACATAAAATATTATTAAAACTAAATAGCAAGTAAAAATACTAATGACAACACCAAAACTGAAACTAATAATAAGAATAAAAAAAAGAGTGGAGTTGCAATTAAGGTTATTCGAATAAAAAAATTCTAAAAATATATTAAAAAAAAAAACCTAGGAAAGAGTGCAACTTGGAAGATATGTCACATGTGCAAAAGTACAGGTACGGGTGGTCCCACACTGAGTCACACGTGTACGGTTGATGTGTGATTGGGTAGTCCTCTTTTGTTTTAACCATCCTTTTTATGTTCTGATGTTTTGGATTTTTGTGTACGGTTAGTGTACCAAAAGGAAAAGCAAATGACCAAAAAATGCAAAAGAAAATTTGGCGACGAATACCTTTTCCAGCTTCAAAAGCGCTTTTCAAAAGCGCTTTTCAAAAACGCTTTTCAAAAACGCTTTTATCTATCCTTCTGATTCTTGAAAAGAAAAAGCGATTCTAACCATGTGATTCCTTCTTGTTGGTTCATGCATCTCACCAGTTTCAGTTCGATTACTGCAATCATAGAGCTTAACACTCGTTAATTAATACTCATCTTTCCAAACAAAACCTATTTCTCAAAACGAAATTCAAAAACGCAATTTAATTATCCAAATAAACCTGTTTTTGAGAAAAATATCTGAATATGTCGAACCGAATTCCAAGTCTGGGTTTTTCTTTTTAAATAATTAAAAAAAAGTATTTATATAAAATGAATAGTATATTTGTAATGAATTAGTTTTTCAAAAAAATAATAATATGTAATATAATTAATTGAGAACTTAGTAATATTTTATTAGTAAATTACTAAGTTGAAATTTACTTTATGTTCCTTTATTTCGTTTAAATCGAGTAATATCAGTTTTTATTTATTTATAGGAATAAGTAATATTAATTATCACTGAAAACTGAAATATTAGAGAGATTAATTTAATGAATTGTAGATTCCTGTTGTTTTGTTAAATATTAAAAGCTTATAAATTTATACTTTGTTTTAGACATAGTATCATAATTATACATTTTAAACTTATTTTGTGTACTTTTAATTATTAGAAAACGTATCAACGCCGAGTCAGCTAAACTTTGGTTAGATTAAATTATTATATTTTGACATTAAATGACAGAACAGTTGCAAAGATGATTTAAAAAAAAAGTACTTTATTAGGTTCTAATATTAAGTACTATTTTTAAAACTCTGTATTTTTTTTATTAAACAAGCTACTACAATTAAGCACATTTGATTGGAGATACATACAGACATTAATTATTTAATTGATCATGAGTTTTTTTTTTTTTGACTTTTTATGAAAACAAAGCAGAATAACCATTGATTTGAGTAGAAGAATTTATTTTAATCTTAATTAAGTACTAATAAGTTTGGCTTAATTGATTTCTATGAAATTTAAAGGCACAAAAAAATTAAGGAAAAAGGAATATTAAAAAAGAAAAAAAAAATGGGACTATAAAACAGGGAAGCTGTGAATCTTTCATGGTTACCTTTCAATCTTCTGTTCCTCTTCCGGGCTCAATCGAATTCATATCCTGAAAATATGGTGGCCGAAAGAGAAAGAGAGGTTAACGGTAACGGCGACGGAGAGAGAACGTTAATATTCACCTACGGAACCCTCAAGAGAGGATTCTCCAATCACCCGCTTCTTCAAGACCTCATCCGCGCCGGCGACGCTTCCTTCGTCGGAACCTATCGCACCGCCGGAAAATACCCTCTTGTATGCGGGCCATACCGGGTCCCTTTCCTCCTCAACTTTCCCGGGTCGGGTTGTTGGGTCCACGGGGAGCTCTACTCTGTCTCCACGCGCGGCCTCGTTCGGATGGACGAACTGGAGGGGACGTCACGCGCCCACTACGAGCGTCTCCCAATAAAGGTGGTTCCGGCGGGGGAGGGCGAGGAGGAGGAGGAGGGGAAGGAGGCGGAGGAGGAGACGGTGGCGGGGGTAACGTGCGCGGAGGCGTATTATGCACACAGGAACTACGCGATGGAGATGTGGAAGAAGAACGGGAAGCGAGGGTTGAGATGTTATTCGCAGAAAGAGACGATTGGTTATGTGAAACGCAAGGATCGGCCTCAAAATTTGACATTTCTCGATCATATTCGCTTTTTCCTTGCCTCAAATTAGAACAAGTTTAATTCTATTATCTCTCTCTCCCCCACCCACACACACTGAAAGTAATAATTAGGAAGGGTTTTTTCACCTTGTGTTATTATGTACCTTCTGGTTGATTAGGTTAGTCTTTTGCATGATTAGATCATGTTCTGTGTATCAATGCAATTTTCTCTATTCATCAGTGGTGGGACTACTACTACTACTATTACATGTTATGTTATGTTATGTTAAGTTTTTGCATTTTGCAAAAGAGGAAAACAAATTGAATGCTTGTTTTCTTTCCCTTTCTTCTTGTGTTTATTTTTTGACAATGGAATTTGTGCTTAGACTATGATGAGCTGATGATGATTACCAGGATCTGTCGTGAATACTGAAACAATCCATGCTGGCCACTGCTATTACTCAATATAACAGTTGAAAGTTCTGAGAAAAAACAGAGGAATTTACATGGCTGAAATTTTGTGTTTATTGTTGAGTTCTTAGTTATGTCAATTCAGTTCAGTTCCTATGCTGCAAACTTTCTAATATGGAGTAATTCTAACTCCTAAGATGTTTATCTTAAGAAATTAACCAGAAGATTTAAGACTTATGATTCCATGTTCTAATTACTAAAGGTTATCTAAAGATAATTAACAGTATGGAATTATGCAGAGGAAGATAAACCAGTTTTCTTGAAATGTACTGACTAAAAGCAAGTATTGTGATTCTAATTTTGTGTGATTTCAACACCCTTATTATGTTAGTTTTCTTCCTTTTTATATGAAATTTTTCAGTATGTTGGAATCTTTTGTCAACCTTTTACCTTGAGTATGAGGTATTTTTCTGATAAACTGGCTGATTTGTTGTGGAAGAAGTGGTGTATGGTGTAACCTCTGATTAAATTATAGTACTTTGCAGAAGCAGCTTCTCAGAAAATTGTTTTATATTGCAAGAAATGAACATGGTAACGTCTACGCACGTGGTTGGACCTCGAGCCTAGCACTTCCTTCGAATTTGTCTCTGATATGATAATGAACATATCGCATCGAACACTGCACAGTGATCACAGAAGAAGGATATGTTACATATTTGCTGATATTTGCATGTGGTTTTTATAATTATTTTTTCTCTTGATAAAAAAACTTATTTTTATTTTAGTCCTACCGTTTACTGATATCAAGTGATTAAATATCAGTTGGGTTAAGTCACGTGTATTTATTTTCCCTGGTTTGGTGTCCTTAATAAAAAAAATTTATTCATTTTGGTCATTCATAAAACTTTTATTTTTTAATTAATCTCATTTATTGACACATTTTATGCTCTTGTTAAAAATGATATACCTATTAATCTTCAAACTTTTTGAGTTTTACTGTCACTGAGAAAAACTAAAAAAATAAAATAAAAGTGGAAATCTTAACTAAGCAGAAAATATATTGTTTCTATTATGTTACCCTTATAAAAAAAATTGAAAAAACACACCTATGCATTCGGTTGGGTTAAGTGACGTGTATTCATTTTTGTCCCTTGTTTAAGATCCTTAATATTTTTTATTTATCTATTTTGGTCATTCATAAAAAAATTGTTTTTTATTATTTTCATTTATTGTCACATTTACGGTCATGCCAATAACTTAGTAGAATTGGTAAATATATTTTTTAAATGATCAGTTTGAAGAAAAATGTTTGATTAATGTAATGTAAATAATGTCATTTAAAGTTTGTATTCCTTCTTTCTTTCAGTATTTCTTATTTTAAGTTTCATATTCTTTAGGTTTCACTGTTGATTAAAAAAACTTAAAGAAATATGAAATGAAAATCTTAACTAAAGAAAAAACATTGTTTCTATTATAATGGTCACTATCAACTCAGTTCTCAAATAAAACAAAGGATAAATACCAAAACAAACAAAAAAATTATAGACAACTACAATGAATTTTTTTATTGAGGAAAAAATAATAATATAAAAATTCATTGAGAACTAAATGATAAAACAAATACACGTTAGTGCTATTGAAGTATCTACATCCTCATAATGAATAAATGGAATATCTATTACCAAAGTAAGAAAAAAATATTATGAGCAAAATAAGAGAGAAAACACTAGTGAAAACGTACAGAAATTCATAAATTTGAGAGATGAAAATGTTATTTAAGTTTATAAATAAATGAGTTAGTGAATCTCCTAATCCTGATATTTTAATTTTCTTAAATTGTTTATTCGGTAAGCATAGATATATATTAATTCGGTACCATTGATTTCAACGGAATCTTAACAATGGAGTCTTGACGATGTAATCAATAGCTAAAGCGATCCCACTATTTACTGTTTTTTAAAAGCAGTCTCAAATAATTGAGCATGACAGCAGCAAGCCACAATTATTGAACAATACTTGAAGATTGAATACCAACCTTGACGACCAAAACTAAAACTAACAATCATCGATGTTTTTTCCCTTAAGAAAAAGAAACTGTTGTCTTTTAAGAACAGAATGAATTTCACTTTCAAAACATTATATAATTATTCCACAACCCTACTTCAAACAAAATCTAACACGATAAAGGTTACAGATTCCTACGCAGCATTTTTTCAATTGTGTTGTAGTTGGTGAGGACAACATAGTGATGAACATAATGGTCCCCAACAAAACCAAAGACAAGAACAATAAGCATCATCTCCAATCAGAAACTTATTTTTATTTGAAGGGTTACATTTTCAAGGTTGAGGGTCGTTATCTTTCATATATGAATATTTGGTGGTCTACACACCACAAAAAAAACATTCAACCATTTAAGATCCTTATTTTAGTGATCTTTTATTCATATGGGCATGCACTCGTTCAGAATTCTAACCCTGACTAATACCAAGTCCATTTACAGAGTTAATTGATTTAATATGAAGATTAAAAAAACAGCATATTGTACACTAGTCAACAAACCAAGAGGCATGAAACAAAACTAGTACACTGACGTAAAGGTTCGTCATAACAGCTCATTCTAAACGTACACTTGAAGTAGCTTGATATTACAGTGTGTATGATTCAAGAAGAGTTGCATTGTCAATTATGGAGGTTTCAAATCTCGGTGAAACCGAGTGGAGTGGAAATTAAGATCATGGTTACGCTTTAATATCCTTATTCGTAACTCCGCTGGATGAAATTTAGATTTTGATGCCTGTTAGATATGTTCATCCATTAACTTATAGAGACATGTGTAGCTGCAGTGATAAAATAAAGGGAAATTAAATAAATTGCAACAGAGAAGGACAAACCTTATTTATCAAGGGATTCAAAATTTTCAATCAATTGTGGTGACCTGCATTATAGCACAAAAATTAAGTTTAGGTTAGGTAGAAATAGACTTGAATAGAATAAGCAAATAAACCCGACATCAGATACTGTACAGTACACGTTCATTTACAAATTTTTATTATATATGTTCACTTGGGAACCTCGATAAAGGTAATGAAGGACCAGAATTAGGCTTTTCGAGGATGTGAACAGCCCAAGCAAAAAAAAAAAGGCATTTCGACGTATTGATGTTTTGAAGGCTTATTTATTAATAAATCATGAATAGGAATTTTGTGTTGGTATGTGAGGTAATAAAGAAAAACCAGAAGATTGGGTTTCAAAATGTTTTGACCCAAGACATAGTGGTATGACAGAATCCAACAGAAGAAGGCTAATGTCTCCTGAATTCTCCAAAAGATGTTCCCCGTTGAATTGAATACTTCTAATCTTGTTAAAACTGCATCAAGTTTATGCTGACATAAATTTGCAGACATTGAATAGAAATAACAAATATCCACAAATTGAACAGCAGGAAATTCTGAGCTTAGAGTAAATAAGCTCCACAAATGTCAACTCTAACACTAAATTCCCCTTTCAAATGAATTTGCACATAGCTTCTAAGAAAAATTTTAAAATAAGAAATTAGTACAACATTATCGAGATTTGAACAACTGAATGTTCAAGGTAGTGCGTGACTGAGCTGGATCACTAAGTCTCGCAACCTAAAGCTGAAGCATCCAAAATTATCACACTCCTTAGTACAACTATGTTGAATTTATTACATCCTATGTCAGATTTTAGTTAATTGTGTTAGATCACTTGAATAGCATTACACAGTTCCACATAAACGGCTAAAACCTTTATTGTCATTCAAAAGACCGTGTTGACTCTATAGCCTCTGGTGAATGTTGGGCTTAAGTGAAAATAAAGTTCAAGTGGTTGCGGGGAAAGAACCAATTATACAGTTCTCTACAGTAAGGCAAATTTCCACTAGAAAAAGATTTTAGTTCAATTCCTTTTTAAATTCCTCGTGACAACAGGCCATGTTATGTTTACATTGGACGTTATAGCTGGTGAATCCCACACTCCTACAATTGAATCACGGAGAACACAAATACAGGGAATAAAAAAAAGTAACATTACCATCTGTCTGTTTGACTGATACCAAGTCCATTGCAGGTAAGAATCATGCCCTTAAATCTGGCAAGATATTCCTGTGCAGCAACAAAGAGAAAAGGCCACAAAAGGTGAGTACAACACTCATCACTCAAGATGATATATCACAAACAAGTGTAAGTAAATGACTACTAACATTAGATGATAGTTACGTTGCATACCTGTAAACTATATTTTTCAATTTCGCATATCCCCGTTAAATCATAATCAAGACGCTTGGCAGGATCACTTAATACTGTTATGTAAAACAGAAGGACAATGGTCAACAAGAAAATCATGATTATCATGTCACAGCTCTAGCTGTTTTCTACACCATAACCATATGCAGGAGAGACAAACCTCTTGGTCAAACTTTGTGGCACTAAGTAAAATAATCCACACAGAGTACCACTAACAGACCTATTCATTAAGTTTAATGTAATTTCCATTACAAAATCAGTTGAGTTTGCTAGTAATGCTCAAGTAGCCAAGTTGACAATCCTGTAAATTTCACCATTCATCTAAATACATTTTGCCAAATAAATTAAAGTAGTTGACTGTTGATTTACACTATATCAAACGTATAAAATAGTATTCTCATTTATCATATGTTAATTAAACAGATGGAAAGTATATATAACATAATATAACTTGGGTTTTTCTTAATTATGTTTTGGGTTTGAATGTTGTCATCAACGTGTTCATGAATATGCGATTTCCTTCCTTCTTCTCAACATTTCAATCACCATAAAGTGTAAAGTTCAAGCCTACAAGGTTATGTTAGCATCAGATACAAGCTTGACGACAAGGTGTAAGTTCATATTCAAACTAATGAAGGACCACGATCTTTTTACTGTAACCATTTGTATATTGTGATTCTCTTGATGATAGAAACATAACTGTTCGATTTTTGGGATATGTAATAATAAGGGTGGTCGTGGAAGACAGGAAATTAAATCTTGTTAAATGATGTGCTTAGTGTTTACAAGAAAAAACTAATGTATATCTTTTACCATTGTAAGCTTCATTTATCTCTTGAAATTTTGTAGTAACAGCACTGTCACCTCCGTGCTTGTCAGGATGCCATTTCTGTTCAATGTATTGAATCATGTATACATAGTAAGCAAACTTGTATAAAAGAATTTTCCGTTTGAAAATTTGAGGAGATAGAATTGTGGGAGCTACTATAAAAAAAGATAGGTTACCAACCAATGCGAGTCTTCGATTAAGGTTAAAGATTCCTACGCAGCATTTTTCAATTGTGTTGTAGTTGGTGAGGACAACATAGTGATGAACATAATGGTCCCCAACAAAACCAAAGACAAGAACAATAAGCATCATCTCCAATCAGAAACTTATTTTTATTTGAAGGGTTACATTTTCAAGGTTGAGGGTCGTTATCTTTCATATATGAATATTTGGTGGTCTACACACCACAAAAAAAACATTCAACCATTTAAGATCCTTATTTTAGTGATCTTTTATTCATATGGGCATGCACTCGTTCAGAATTCTAACCCTGACTAATACCAAGTCCATTTACAGAGTTAATTGATTTAATATGAAGATTAAAAAAACAGCATATTGTACACTAGTCAACAAACCAAGAGGCATGAAACAAAACTAGTACACTGACGTAAAGGTTCGTCATAACAGCTCATTCTAAACGTACACTTGAAGTAGCTTGATATTACAGTGTGTATGATTCAAGAAGAGTTGCATTGTCAATTATGGAGGTTTCAAATCTCGGTGAAACCGAGTGGAGTGGAAATTAAGATCATGGTTACGCTTTAATATCCTTATTCGTAACTCCGCTGGATGAAATTTAGATTTTCCCACCCACACACACTGAAAGTAATAATTAGGAAGGGTTTTTTCACCTTGTGTTATTATGTACCTTCTGGTTGATTAGGTTAGTCTTTTGCATGATTAGATCATGTTCTGTGTATCAATGCAATTTTCTCTATTCATCAGTGGTGGGACTACTACTACTACTATTACATGTTATGTTATGTTATGTTAAGTTTTTGCATTTTGCAAAAGAGGAAAACAAATTGAATGCTTGTTTTCTTTCCCTTTCTTCTTGTGTTTATTTTTTGACAATGGAATTTGTGCTTAGACTATGATGAGCTGATGATGATTACCAGGATCTGTCGTGAATACTGAAACAATCCATGCTGGCCACTGCTATTACTCAATATAACAGTTGAAAGTTCTGAGAAAAAACAGAGGAATTTACATGGCTGAAATTTTGTGTTTATTGTTGAGTTCTTAGTTATGTCAATTCAGTTCAGTTCCTATGCTGCAAACTTTCTAATATGGAGTAATTCTAACTCCTAAGATGTTTATCTTAAGAAATTAACCAGAAGATTTAAGACTTATGATTCCATGTTCTAATTACTAAAGGTTATCTAAAGATAATTAACAGTATGGAATTATGCAGAGGAAGATAAACCAGTTTTCTTGAAATGTACTGACTAAAAGCAAGTATTGTGATTCTAATTTTGTGTGATTTCAACACCCTTATTATGTTAGTTTTCTTCCTTTTTATATGAAAATTTTCAGTATGTTGGAATCTTTTGTCAACCTTTTACCTTGAGTATGAGGTATTTTTCTGATAAACTGGCTGATTTGTTGTGGAAGAAGTGGTGTATGGTGTAACCTCTGATTAAATTATAGTACTTTGCAGAAGCAGCTTCTCAGAAAATTGTTTTATATTGCAAGAAATGAACATGGTAACGTCTACGCACGTGGTTGGACCTCGAGCCTAGCACTTCCTTCGAATTTGTCTCTGATATGATAATGAACATATCGCATCGAACACTGCACAGTGATCACAGAAGAAGGATATGTTACATATTTGCTGATATTTGCATGTGGTTTTTATAATTATTTTTTCTCTTGATAAAAAAACTTATTTTTATTTTAGTCCTACCGTTTACTGATATCAAGTGATTAAATATCAGTTGGGTTAAGTCACGTGTATTTATTTTCCCTGGTTTGGTGTCCTTAATAAAAAAAATTTATTCATTTTGGTCATTCATAAAACTTTTATTTTTTAATTAATCTCATTTATTGACACATTTTATGCTCTTGTTAAAAATGATATACCTATTAATCTTCAAACTTTTTGAGTTTTACTGTCACTGAGAAAAACTAAAAAAATAAAATAAAAGTGGAAATCTTAACTAAGCAGAAAATATATTGTTTCTATTATGTTACCCTTATAAAAAAAATTGAAAAAACACACCTATGCATTCGGTTGGGTTAAGTGACGTGTATTCATTTTTGTCCCTTGTTTAAGATCCTTAATATTTTTTATTTATCTATTTTGGTCATTCATAAAAAAATTGTTTTTTATTATTTTCATTTATTGTCACATTTACGGTCATGCCAATAACTTAGTAGAATTGGTAAATATATTTTTTAAATGATCAGTTTGAAGAAAAATGTTTGATTAATGTAATGTAAATAATGTCATTTAAAGTTTGTATTCCTTCTTTCTTTCAGTATTTCTTATTTTAAGTTTCATATTCTTTAGGTTTCACTGTTGATTAAAAAAACTTAAAGAAATATGAAATGAAAATCTTAACTAAAGAAAAAACATTGTTTCTATTATAATGGTCACTATCAACTCAGTTCTCAAATAAAACAAAGGATAAATACCAAAACAAACAAAAAAATTATAGACAACTACAATGAATTTTTTTATTGAGGAAAAAATAATAATATAAAAATTCATTGAGAACTAAATGATAAAACAAATACACGTTAGTGCTATTGAAGTATCTACATCCTCATAATGAATAAATGGAATATCTATTACCAAAGTAAGAAAAAAATATTATGAGCAAAATAAGAGAGAAAACACTAGTGAAAACGTACAGAAATTCATAAATTTGAGAGATGAAAATGTTATTTAAGTTTATAAATAAATGAGTTAGTGAATCTCCTAATCCTGATATTTTAATTTTCTTAAATTGTTTATTCGGTAAGCATAGATATATATTAATTCGGTACCATTGATTTCAACGGAATCTTAACAATGGAGTCTTGACGATGTAATCAATAGCTAAAGCGATCCCACTATTTACTGTTTTTTAAAAGCAGTCTCAAATAATTGAGCATGACAGCAGCAAGCCACAATTATTGAACAATACTTGAAGATTGAATACCAACCTTGACGACCAAAACTAAAACTAACAATCATCGATGTTTTTTCCCTTAAGAAAAAGAAACTGTTGTCTTTTAAGAACAGAATGAATTTCACTTTCAAAACATTATATAATTATTCCACAACCCTACTTCAAACAAAATCTAACACGATAAAGGTTACAGATTCCTACGCAGCATTTTTTCAATTGTGTTGTAGTTGGTGAGGACAACATAGTGATGAACATAATGGTCCCCAACAAAACCAAAGACAAGAACAATAAGCATCATCTCCAATCAGAAACTTATTTTTATTTGAAGGGTTACATTTTCAAGGTTGAGGGTCGTTATCTTTCATATATGAATATTTGGTGGTCTACACACCACAAAAAAAACATTCAACCATTTAAGATCCTTATTTTAGTGATCTTTTATTCATATGGGCATGCACTCGTTCAGAATTCTAACCCTGACTAATACCAAGTCCATTTACAGAGTTAATTGATTTAATATGAAGATTAAAAAAACAGCATATTGTACACTAGTCAACAAACCAAGAGGCATGAAACAAAACTAGTACACTGACGTAAAGGTTCGTCATAACAGCTCATTCTAAACGTACACTTGAAGTAGCTTGATATTACAGTGTGTATGATTCAAGAAGAGTTGCATTGTCAATTATGGAGGTTTCAAATCTCGGTGAAACCGAGTGGAGTGGAAATTAAGATCATGGTTACGCTTTAATATCCTTATTCGTAACTCCGCTGGATGAAATTTAGATTTTGATGCCTGTTAGATATGTTCATCCATTAACTTATAGAGACATGTGTAGCTGCAGTGATAAAATAAAGGGAAATTAAATAAATTGCAACAGAGAAGGACAAACCTTATTTATCAAGGGATTCAAAATTTTCAATCAATTGTGGTGACCTGCATTATAGCACAAAAATTAAGTTTAGGTTAGGTAGAAATAGACTTGAATAGAATAAGCAAATAAACCCGACATCAGATACTGTACAGTACACGTTCATTTACAAATTTTTATTATATATGTTCACTTGGGAACCTCGATAAAGGTAATGAAGGACCAGAATTAGGCTTTTCGAGGATGTGAACAGCCCAAGCAAAAAAAAAAAGGCATTTCGACGTATTGATGTTTTGAAGGCTTATTTATTAATAAATCATGAATAGGAATTTTGTGTTGGTATGTGAGGTAATAAAGAAAAACCAGAAGATTGGGTTTCAAAATGTTTTGACCCAAGACATAGTGGTATGACAGAATCCAACAGAAGAAGGCTAATGTCTCCTGAATTCTCCAAAAGATGTTCCCCGTTGAATTGAATACTTCTAATCTTGTTAAAACTGCATCAAGTTTATGCTGACATAAATTTGCAGACATTGAATAGAAATAACAAATATCCACAAATTGAACAGCAGGAAATTCTGAGCTTAGAGTAAATAAGCTCCACAAATGTCAACTCTAACACTAAATTCCCCTTTCAAATGAATTTGCACATAGCTTCTAAGAAAAATTTTAAAATAAGAAATTAGTACAACATTATCGAGATTTGAACAACTGAATGTTCAAGGTAGTGCGTGACTGAGCTGGATCACTAAGTCTCGCAACCTAAAGCTGAAGCATCCAAAATTATCACACTCCTTAGTACAACTATGTTGAATTTATTACATCCTATGTCAGATTTTAGTTAATTGTGTTAGATCACTTGAATAGCATTACACAGTTCCACATAAACGGCTAAAACCTTTATTGTCATTCAAAAGACCGTGTTGACTCTATAGCCTCTGGTGAATGTTGGGCTTAAGTGAAAATAAAGTTCAAGTGGTTGCGGGGAAAGAACCAATTATACAGTTCTCTACAGTAAGGCAAATTTCCACTAGAAAAAGATTTTAGTTCAATTCCTTTTTAAATTCCTCGTGACAACAGGCCATGTTATGTTTACATTGGACGTTATAGCTGGTGAATCCCACACTCCTACAATTGAATCACGGAGAACACAAATACAGGGAATAAAAAAAAGTAACATTACCATCTGTCTGTTTGACTGATACCAAGTCCATTGCAGGTAAGAATCATGCCCTTAAATCTGGCAAGATATTCCTGTGCAGCAACAAAGAGAAAAGGCCACAAAAGGTGAGTACAACACTCATCACTCAAGATGATATATCAC